AAGAGGGCATGTGTAAAATGCAAGATAAGACAACCTTGGAGAGCACGCTTTGCATAATAGTTTCAGATAGGTGTGTGTCTGGGGTTTGAGCTCTATGTGTGTTCTCAGACGACAGCTATGAATTGTGTGCAATCCATTTTCCGTCAGACTGTAGCACATCTGCAGCTTTAAAGAGCTTAGGGTTGATATATTTAGGGGAACTTACTTTTAAGGTCAAACTGTCTTTATTTTAGCTCAATTTTGCAAACTGAATATCTCAGCTTTTCTGTCTCTGTTAGAATTAGCCTTTGCTTCTAAAACATGCAGGACTTGTTTTGAAATGTTTGTCACTTCAGCACAAACTTTGAGATGAACCTGATGAACCTGCCTCATAAGGCGAAAATCAGATTTGCAGGATTTTGCATGACAAATTGAGTAAAGGCATATGGAGTGGCTGCAGGCATGGGACACTTCAGCTCCAGACAGCTTTAATAAATAAGTCATGTAAAATCCTCCTGGAAGCAAAATGAAACAAAAAAGGTTGTTCAGGATTATTTTTTAAAAGTAAAAGTATAATTTCCATCTTGCCATATTACTGTGTACCTACACTTGACCAATTGTGAAGCATGCAGCTGTAAAATCAGAGCTGCACCCATCAGAGTTTAGGGACAGACTTTGCCTGAAAATCTTTGCTTGCACCGGATTGTGCTAAACTGACAGTTAGCTTGTTGACTTTTCTATTCTGATAGCTTACAACAAAGTCACACCCAAACAGACCACCTCTTTAATTACAAGAGTCATACAACCATCAATGCAAAAGTCAACTGTGGTACTTTGAACTCCAAAGTATGAACTACTAGATGTCAAGCAACAAGCTGGACAGTACCTAATATGCATCAAAAGAGGTATTTGGATAAATTATGATTGGAAATGGTCTGAACTAAATCTGTGGCAGTGATCACAAAGGGCTTTGTATAAGTGGTCAACACGGTAAGAGTGTTTAGCGTAAGCCTACACTTTATGCAGTAAGTAGACTTCTGCCTTAAGGGGGAGATTTCCACATGGGTGCCAACATTCCCCAATTAATCTGAATGCCCTGGTAGATGGAACTGAATTCTTCCGAAGAGTAACTTTGCTGCAGGACTTTCAGCCTTTCTGTTATCATCTGAGGGCTCGTTTCTCTACACCATCATGTGGTGAAGAGCAAATCCATGCATTTGCAGAAAACACAAGCTCCTTTGTAGCTTCTGAAAGACTCTTTCTGTCTCTTCCGGTTGTTTCTGATGTTTAATTTTTAAGCAGATTCTTCTTTCAGTAACAGCTGCTACTTTTAAGAGTATTAGCATGACCTGATCACTCTTTGCAAGCTAACTGACAAAAAGATATAGACTGACATTCCTTGCGTCCATTTGATTTTAAAGCTTAAATGCCACATAAAAATGAATGGAAAGGTAAAAGAAATATGATGTAGACAATGATGAGAGATGTGGAGCAGGCCCACAGTGAAGCTTTTAGTGAGCTTTAAGTAAGTTGCCACCCAGAGAATTGACAAAGAATGGGTGTGGACTGATAGGGTTTTTTTCTGTGGTTTTGCAGCCACCTCCATGTCCTTGAATGGAACTAAATTATAGTTTCTCTGGCATTTTGTGAATCAGAGCTGTTGACAGGTGTGAGTCTGGCCAGCAAGGCTGCATGACAGAGTCAGGGTGAAAGTATGCGGGGTCTTTCATAGGCACTGGAGGAAATATGGACGGAAGCGCTTCTCTTCTCACACAAAAGTTGAGGAGCAATCTCATCCGTAGCAGAAGCCTTATACTGGTAGGGGTGGATGGGGCGGAGGTGATACTTTAGGTGTCCCTTAAAGGGTTTTCCCCTATTGCCCTCTTAAAACCATGACAAAAGCCCCCAATTCTTCCCTGGATAATAAGGTACTCAGCCATCCCTACCCCACAGAGGAGGTGCTCTCATGAGAAATGCAGGTGCAAGTGATCCTTTAAAGGGTGACTCATTATGGCCATTCAGAGGAAGGTTCTGGGAAAAGAGCAGCCAGTTATTCAAGACTCTTGTGTTATCCAGCTTTCAACTGTATGTTGACAACCTGAGGAAGAAAGAATAAGATAGATGTCTCTATCTAGGCGAAATGGTTCATGTAGATGCTTCCTAAATTAGCTTGTGTATTAGGGGTGCTGACAGGAAGAGGCTTGTGCTGATTTGTCTGCATGGATATGACTAAAGGCCATTAGTCACAGAGTGGGAGTCAGAATATATTGGAGGTACACTGAAAATGAGACGGCAAAAAAAAAATTTTGTAAAAACAAAATCTACTCTGTGGACAAAACTCTGGGGGGAAAAGAAAAAGTTACTACTAATGTGTGGAAAACTTTATATATTTTTTTTGCATAGACAGGTTTTGCAATTATTAGGATTCTAATTAAGGTACAACTTCAAAATGAAATTGAATGAAATAAAGTGCTTTTGTTTTGTGCAACAAGGCACAAATTTGGTATTGATGACAACGTTGCTCAACACTATTACAGGTGTCACACAGACTACATCATAAAATAACAAAACATTGCATTAATAACCAAAAGTAGCATCACTCGGGTCCCTATTCACTGATGTCATTCAATAGAAGATATCTCACAATTTATATCTGTTATTAGCCTGTTACACACCTAAACGTAACTTAATATTTACATATTAATGTGTAATTGTTTTGGTATATCTAAGAAGGAAAGAGGTTTCATTGCTGGGTAAACAAAAATGACCCATTAATTGAACAAAGGATCTAAAAATGTGTACTCTGTAGAAAACTTTTGAAGCACGCTGCCCCTTAAAAGCTATGCCAAAAACCTTAAGGGACAAATTATTCATGGAAGTTTATTTTTACTGGTTTCTCATTAAAAAGACTTTAAACAGAAGAACATTATAATGGGAACTGTTAGTATTTTTCAAAACTGTTTGTTTAAAACCTTGGTTTTACTACTTCTGTTGATTCAGAGGTGTTTATATTCACCCGAGCCCACACAAAAATACATTTTTATATTTGTCTCACCAGACGATGGTTAATCTCTTCTATTCTTGAGCCAACTGTAACAACTCTTTTTATACTTAATCATTTCATGACATTAAACAATGATGCTATGGTTAATGAACTAATCTCATAATACATTAACAGGCATCTGCACCACTCAACGCACTTTATCACTATTAATGTCATTCAAACGTTTGGTCTTTCAAACGCTGAAACTTTCCTTCATAACACTGATTTGAGTTGGGCAAAGCTGGAGTTGAACACCTAATCATTGGCAGACAGCTGATCAAGTTTAGGATCACAGGGCAGCTGGTTGTATGCCAACGACCATTCAAGAAATATTATTTTAGTTATTTGAAATGCCTGTATGCTCATCTTTATGTCAGGAACGCTGACATAAATGAATTAACATTAATAAACATTCCATCACCTGTCCTGTTGCTCCTCAGCTTGTTTTTGTATGTGTTCTTATACTAATATTAGTAGTGATAATATATTTTAGAAAGAAAGTAAAATTATGTGTCTAAGCTTTTTTTCCGATTTAAATATATTTACTAGTGGTAATACAAGTCTATAAATGTTGACACCGGGGTTATTAAATTCACTGTGAAAGTCCATTTCTACACAAAGAGTAGCAGCTCAATTTCAGAGCCTTATAATTATTCTCTGAAATCTTTGAATGCATGTTGTGACACACAGTACTCCCAGCCATGTTTCATACTCAGGAGTCTGCCCTGGTAAATTCCTCCAGATCAACACCCTCTTCCACAAGCGAATTTATCTTGCTGCTTTTTTGCTTTGCCAGTGAATCTGTCAGCCTCCACTTTGGGTGAATTAGCATCTTAAGCCTCTCCACTTACTCCCACTCCTCCCCCTATGGAGAACCACTGATCCAGGGGGCCCAACAGGAGGAGGAGGACAGCTCTGAGATCTGACCATGAGCGTGAGAGAAAAGAGACAGGGGGAAGGAGTAGAAAATATGCTCTGCTGGTTAAACCCTGTGACCTCTGTCCCATAAAATAGAGCATACATCAGTGACAGCTGAGAAATTAGCGTTTCTCTCTGTCCTCAAGCCAAAACTATTTGCATAAAGTACCAGCAGCATCCCAGCACTTTGTAAACAAATCTTTAAATGAGTGCTATGAAAATGAAGTTTATTACTAATTGCATCAAACCACTTAATCCTATTAGGGTCATGTGAGGCACAATCCTGTCTAGGCATGGAGAGCATTTGAAAATTAAGGGAAACAAACGGAGATTATTTCTGGAATTGGTTATATGTAGATTATTTTAGCTGCTGACCTGACTTATAAAACAAAACTAAAACATAATTTAACTTTCTATAATTTTTTTTATCTTTGTAAAAAAAAACATTTCTGTGGGTTGCCTGGGCAGCCCACCTGGTGGGTCTGGTTCCCACATAGTGTCATATGACAAGTTGCTTTACAACAGAGTAAAATGAAAAATTCTCACTATTGCATCGACCGAGATCTGATGGAGGAAGACTTTTAAATATTTCAAAAGAGCTGATCAAGAATGAACTCAATTCTCTAACTTTAAGTTTAAGAGCAACTTTGCAAGACAGAATGAGCAGAAGTTCAAATTATGATGTTTTGAAAAGAAAAACAAATGATGTCAATATTTGGTTTAGCATTTTTTATATTATTATTATTATTATTCCTAAAGTCAAGATATTTCTTAATCCTTTTCTTGTCCTGCTATTAATTTTGTCGTTTCATTCACAATCATCGACAGCATTGTTGTCACTGCTGTATAAATCTCGTGTGTGTATCTAGATATATTCACCTGCCTCTGCATTTTGACTGGCTAAATATTTTAGCTCCAGAGGTAATATCTGCCTTAGTGCATCATTTGAATTCTACTGTATTTCTGGTGACAATTTAAATTTATCAAACACAATTCAATACCTTAAAGTGGTTTATCTCTTCAAAGGTGATGTTTTGGGTTTTCTTGCATGTTTCCATAGGGGTCTCTTATTCGTATGTGTTGGAGCGGGATGGAGATGAGGGAGCAGCAGTGGACGTAAGGCTTTACAGTCACCGATGGAGGAGGTGGCTTCCCCCAAAACCTCGCAACATGGACAGCAACAGAGCTAGCCAGGAGCAGGAACAGGAGCCAGAGCCGGAGGAGCTTGACGGTTTCCCCGGCCTGCTGTCTGCAGAGGACACAGACAACAGCTCCCAGATTGAGGTAAGTCTGGGAAAAATGAACATTGTCACTTGGTGTTAAGAGCAGTGAGTAAAAGAAATCGTTTGCTCACCTAAACCTGAGTATTCATTCATAAAACCTTAACTTCAGTGTGCATCGGGTTCAATTAGTTGGTGAATTGAAACCATTACTTTTAGCAGCTAAGCCTGGTCACTTTGTTGCTGTCAAAAAAAATGTTTGGTCTTGCTAATTTTGTTTTAAGATGTGGTCACCACTCCTCTGAGGAAAGATTAATTTAAATTAGGTTCCTATTTAAATGGTGCTCAAAATTATTGTTTGGTCACATTCACTGATCAAACCTCTTAAATAGCTAAGTAATAAAAAAATATTTGAGAAGGAGGCTTGAAGGTTTAATGTTTCATATAAAATGAAGCTCAGTCTTAAGGTGTTCATGTGTGGGAGAAGAGCTCCTTAAATCTGGCCTCAGATGAATGGAGCAGGAAATTGACCCGGATTCCTATGAGAACACATTGGTCAACCTGCAGGAGATTAATAGCCATGCTTGACCTGCGTTGGAGTCTGTGGGAATGAAAGGCATCAGCCTGTCCCTTGTTGTAGCGTCTTGTCTGGTTCTCTGCACCGAGGAGTTCAGCCATAATGACGGCGGCTGCCCGGGCTCAGACAGCTCGTTAAGTTTTCCTGCAGCTTCTAATCATCTCAGGTTCACAGCCGCATGTCTCCCAGCGAAGATGGAGGAAGCTTTGATCGCCAGCTGTAAACATTCACGCGCACACTTGTGTACGTGGGCCATTTTGAGCTTAACGCACTCAAAATGAAATATTCTGGTGAGCAGGGCTAAATGGCTTCAGAAATATAAAATACTTTATGCCAAATGTACATATTATATGTTTATTGGTGTTGCTACCACACTTTTGAGATCTGTACTTGACTCTGTACTTTACCTTCTTTGCTGGTTTGTTTGTAATTTATTAAATCTCGGTCTTCTTGCAGAGGGCGTTGTTGAGATTTTATCTTTTATACTCTTCTGTAAAATGAAACCTATGCATATGTTATTAGCAGTAATCCAAGGCTTAAGCTTTTATGAACGACATATGAACATTGACAACATGTATGTTATTGCTGAAGAAGCTTTTATATTGTTTTTGAAAACCAATATTATCAAGATCCTAAACAATATCCATATTGACATGAAATGAACCCAATCACTATAGTTATATAAAATCAACCCATATACATTTATTACCTAAAAGTAATAAATATATGTGGAAGCTTTTAGGTGAAAAGCTAATAAATGTATATAAGAGAATAAGTACATATGATTAGAAGTCTTTTTGCTAAATTAACAAATGTGGCGTAACCAGTCCAAATGTGGCCTTGGTCACGCAAATATTTTTTTCTTGTCCAAATTTGTCATAAAATTTTCTCTGGAGATGGTTAATTTGATCATGTCTAAGAAACTAAAGTAACAGCAGTTAGTTGTGCCAAAATCTAAAGTAACATTCCAGGGTTAAAATCATTGCTGTGTTAAACTACTTCCTTTTTTAGTCTGTTTTGCTTCATAGACAAAACAAAACAAAACAAAAAAAAAACCTCAAAATATTTGTTTTTCACTTCAATAAATCAAACCTACTTCATTTAAATCTCATCTGTCTTTGCTTTCACCTTAGTCTGTTTCAGTTTACTGGCTCACATTTTTTGTTGTGAACAATGCCTCACTTTTTTTCACCTTGCCTTGAAAGTTTGAATGAGGCTTTAATTGTAGACAGTCTGACACCCTGAATGGGTTTACTTACTGGAGGAGCTCTCTGGATCGTTAATCCAGATTAAAGAGCTCTTTGCTGACTTGGCTTTTAGGTTGCTGTGAGAAATTGTGTAAAAAAAAGAAATAACTGTGGGAACAACTCAATATGGCCACTGACCATAAGCCAGGTCTTATTTATTTACTGCAGAGATGTTTTTAATGTCGTCACAAATGAATTTTTTAAACTAGTGTGGTAATATTTTTTTGCTAGATTCATGATGCGGTTTTTATTTTTACCTCATAATTTAAACTCATAAAATGTTGTGTTCTGCATGCAAAATTTGAGCAGGGCTTTCACTTTTGGAAACATTGCTGGAGCTCGTATATTTATTTTTCTATATGCAATTTCCAGGCTAGTGGGACAGTATTTCCATTCAACTCTATCAAGCAAAAACTTCCCTTTTAACCATCACTAAATACACGTCTTAAAAACATGAACCGACACGAACCAATAAAAGGTGCACAAGCAGATCATGGAGACAATATAGGGCAAATTAGGACTAACAGTTGTAAAAAGTTTTTAAAGGAGTAAGCTAACAGGAAGATGTTTTCTGCTAGATTAGCTCACACACATTAGGTTGACAGTAGTCATTAGAAAATGTAAGCCTCATTTATTTTTAATGACAGAACTTGTTTCAGCTGAACTGAATCTCACATTCGCAGATCTTTGACATAAATATTCAGAAAGACAGAACACAGCCCCCTTTGTTTTCAAGCTATGTAGTAGGACTTTAAGTGTGACGTATTTTTTTAGCTGCAAAATAGTGTTTTACATGTGTAAAAGGTATTTCTACTTGTCTGATTGGGCTGCAAAATCACCTAAATATCCTGAATACCAAGCAGACATAAACATGAAATCCCTGACCTCAAGCCAGTTCTATATTTCTTAGTGTGATAAATCTTTCCTAGTTGATGCACACTCTGCACAGCATTGCATACTCAGTTCAGACGTTCCGAAGCCGCTTGGAAGATGTACAGCAAAATGACATCTTACAGTGTAGAAAACAGATGAAAAAGTACAAAATGCAACTAAAAGAATCTCAGTGTCGGTCACTGATTGAAGCTGTCACTATTTCAAGTCTTATCTCTTCCAGGAATAAAACAAACATACAGAAAACATGTGGCAGGCTCTGTGATGACAGGTTACACGGACAACAGCCTTCTTCAAACCCACACTACAGCGCTTGGATGAAACCAAAAGAGACAAATAAAGTCTCGGAAAATTGACAGAAATTGATTTGCATATTTACTGTATTGTCCATGTTTTCACATTTATCCTGAAACTGAGAATAATCTTAATTACGGCTACTCTTGGTAATTAAGGTTTGTCGGTGAAAGTGTGTTCTGCTGATTGGCCTGCTTGTTTAACATGCTTCAAATCAGTGCAGTAAGGTTAAGGTTTGCGCATGTGTTTCTAAGTAGTGAAAATGGTTGGACAAGTGACTCTGTTACTCTTTGCTGGTTTTATATACAAAATCCATTTGCTTACCGATACACAGTGGATGGTAAAGACAAGTAAAAAAAAAAAATAAAGAAAAAATGTGAAAACTGATTTTAATACCTTCTCATGCAGCTGCTGCAGGTTGGAAGATGCTCTTCAAGTGAACCCAAATCTGTTCAAAAATTTATCCTCTGCTTTCACTTGAGATCATGTGCTTATAAATGTGGTCTGCAGCCAGTCATAAGGAGAACACCTAAATTATACACTACAACATGTATGTGTTGGATTCAGATCCTGCTGCTTTTTGAACTAGTGGAACAGTGAACACATTATTTATTAAACTGAATCCTCTTGGCAGATTTGGGGTAACATTTTGAGTGTTCCACCTTCTTATGGAACATTTCATTTGAAAAATTAATTTCAAAAATATTTTTAGAAGTTAATGTTGATCAGTGTTCACTTTTAATAAGATATGTTGGTGTTTTGACACGTCAGAGAACGATAACATTATTATCTCTATTAAAATGCAAGAAAACAAACCTGAATTATGCAGCAATGAAACTGCTTTTGCAAATGCAGTACTGTACAGTAATGCCTCCAGACACTGTCTGCATAATTTTCTTAATATATTGAACTGCCAAAAGTGCTTGGTCAGCGATAGTCCATAGGTCTTCTAGCTACAGACTGATGAACTTTATGCAGCCTTCAAATTTAAGAAGGCCTTTAAACATGTTTCACTCTCTTCACCCCAAATATGACCTTAAAGCATAAGGCTTCATTCAAGGTCTCTTTGCCATTGGAAAGCCATCCAGAAGTGGAAATATGTTGGCATACTATTCACTTCTCAGAATAATTCAATATTAAAGCACCTGAGGTAAAAGCCTCAAACACAAATGAATGGAAGTCTTCAGTGAATTTTCTTTTTTTTTCCGTCAAATATTTTGTGTTTGTGGAGGTCGGATAACTGTTCTCATATACTCCAAGTCTCCCTCTGAGCTTTTCTGTTCAGAAAGTTTACATTTTGCTGATTTGGCCCAATTAATGTTAGGATGCAATCTGATCTTAGGACTTCTCCAGATAGGGGCATATTGTATTGTGTATATATATTTTTAAATCCTTATGTTGCGTTTACACCAAATGCATTTTGAGCGTCAGGCGTGTCTGGATTACATTCAAAGTCTGTGTGTCGAGGGCCGTTGTGACGCGTTTCAAGTGTCTAGCCAGGGCAATTTGAACTCTTTGGAGTGTTTTGAGTGCTTGAAGTGCTGACCATGTCCAATGCTCCATATAGACTTTAAATGTAAACCTGATGCGATTGGTGTGAATGCACCAAAAGTGCACACACATCTCACTTGAAGCGTCAGACGCGTTTGGTGTGACCGCTTTAGTAGATCAAAACATTACCTAAAAAGGTCTAAAGGTCTTTAAGTGTGACAAAAAAAAAGCAAAACCATAAGGAATCTATTCCTGGACGAATGGTTTTTAGAGCACTGTTGGCCTGCATTTGCTCATTTTTAAACATTTTTGTTTTTGTCTTCCAGATGTAATGTGTTGAATAAGACTACCAGATGGGGCTCCCATTTTGGTGACTTCTTTATCTGCTGAAATAGTTATGAATAAAGGTTTTTGACAATGTTTTTTCATATCAATCAAAATCATCATGTTCACTTTAAAAATTTACTTTGTCAGTTCTGAAACATGATTCATTTTTATCTAATATTCAATTATGGAAGTTGAGGTTAGTTATTAGATCATATCTCCAAGACAAAAAAAATAGTATTACTCCTGAAGGCAAACCAAACTAAAAAGAGAAAGATTGTGCTTTAATTCTCTTTGTTTCTTGGCATTTTGACAATCAAAGTGAAATAGTAGAGTTACTGCCTATATATCAAAGCGAACGCAGAACTGAGTGAGTTTCCTTTATTCAGATCACAGCCGGGAGAAGCTTGCTCCTCCCTGTCTGTCGATCCAGCAGAACATTAACTTTAACTATGTTTTAGATAAAAATCACAGCTGTTATGTATCATTACATCCAGAAGGAAAGAGAGATAACAAAATCATTCCTCCTAATTCAGCACAGGACACAATGAAAGCAGACAGGCTCCTGATACGTAGCTTGTATAAGTCAGTAGATGTTCCTGTTATAAACAGCAGCCTTGACTTTGCAGACTGGTCCAGCGTTTTGAAGACAATAATTTGCTTTGATGACTTTGATTAGCCAATAATCAAAGTATATGTTGATTGGACTAAATTTTAAGCAGAATGGACATGTTGTATGATAATGTAAATGTTTGTATTGTGTTTTCATAATTTGCTTTTGAGTGAAATATGTTATTCTGTGGGCTCCTCCTATTTACTGTAACAGTATCAACATGCTCCGGCTAGCTCAGATTCTAACATAAACTTGACTTATTAACAAAAAAATTAAGTAAGATGTTCCCCCATAATTATGCACTTCTTTGTGTTAGTCTCTTATAAAGTCCTATTAAAATACATTCAGGTTTGTCCTTGCAACATGGCAAAATGTCAGCAAAACACTACATTTTCCTTTCTTACTCTTACATAAACTGAAACCCCAAACCGTTTGTTCTGTCATTCTTTTAGGAGGACATGGATCACAACTACTACACATCAAAAACATACGGTCCGTCAGATCCTATGAGCAAAGACTTGTGGGTAAATATTGACCAGATGGAGAAGGACAAAGTGAAGATCCATGGGATTCTGTCTAACACACACAGACAGGCAGCGGTAAGTCAACAACAACAGAACTGGAGATTTAGTGGATGCTAAATGTTGGATTTAAGCACTGCAATAGGCACCACCAGACACTAAATAAATATAACTTACTTCTGAAAAAGTGCCACCTAGTGTTCACATAGGTTTACATCAGATTAGTTTTTTTATTTTATTTAATTTTTTTAACCAAGCTCTTCTTCAAGAAGAATTTCATTGTATTAACCTCTTAAGAGGTAAACACTATATTAGTAGTGTTAACAAATATAACACTACAACAAAAATGAAATAGTTGTTTTATTTGCCCAACGGTTCCACAATTGTCATCTTTCTGTCATAATATATTAAAGATAAGATGAATTAAGGACTGCAACAGACTGGCGACCTGTTCAGGGTGTAACCTGGAATGTTAGCTAGAGATGGGCAGCAGCACCCCCGCTATAGACAAGGGTGTTAGGAAATGGATGGATGGATGGATGAGTTAAGTATGAAAAATCCAAGGTTTTTACATGCAGTTTAAAGTCTTTTCTGCAGCTATATTTAAAGCCCCCACTCCTTCCAGGTCGGTGCAGGCAGGTGACCCATGTGAGCTGCATACTGATAGAGTCATAAGGCAGCAGCCACCGACCAGAGAAGCAGAACAGCATGGCAGCAGAGAGAAAGGAAGTAACCTGATAGAACAATAGTTGCTGAGGAGTGAGAATAGAGTCCCACATTGTTCATTCTGCTCCTCTGCCTTCAATATTTTTATTTTATTTTTTGCCAGATGATGAGGTGTTCCTGCTGAAAGAAGATATTTAAATGATTTTGGATTATTCTCTAAATTTGACTTAGTCTGACAAATCAGTAAAAGAATGTCCTGAATCAACAGACAGTCAAATAGGACACTTGGCACTTTTAGCTGATTCATAGAGAATGGAAAACCATCTGTGCTGGAATTATCTGTGGTCTTGTAACAGAGGGCAAATGTTTTAAACAAATAGTTCATTGTGATGGGCAGTCAAAGTCCTGAGAAACTGCTTTAAGCTCAGCAGAACATGCTCCTTTCCAGACCCGCTGGCTGCCGGCGCGCTGGCCCAGATGCAGAAAAAAAAAAATTGGCTGATAAGGTCAGAAAACAAAACACAGCAACAGAGGTCAGGTCCGTCAGAGCTTTGCTGAGAAGTTAAGCTGCGGAATTGGCTGCACAGCTACTGAGATTCAGGGCGGTTTACCACAAGATTACTAATGCAGAGCTATCTATTCCAGTATTTATTGCAGCTGCCAATCTCCGTTCTCTCTTCTGGCAGATACTGTGCCATATTCGGCGTACAGATGAAATGATGCATCCATAAACCATGGTATGCGAGTCCAATCCTGCCAGGAGTAGAGATGAAGTGGTGAATGACACAAATGTATGCACTTAAGCAAGACGTAATGTGAAATCCTTCTAATGTCCCCTGATAATTCAAGACCTCTGAGCTATATTGCGATGTTTATATTACAAAGTTGAAGAACTTAATCAAAAGTGAGATTATTTTAATGACAAAAAGCTCAAAACAGAAAAATATATATTTCATATTACTATATGCAAATATATCTGTACTCTCACTAGTTTATTACGATTGAGTTGTTTGTTGTGAACCCAGACTGTTCTGTTTCAGAAACCATTACTCTAATTTGAATGTCACATTGCATATGTGAAGTTCACTTACTTTACTTGTATTTCAGGATTATGTGAAAATAAAAAAAACTTAAAATACATTTGGTGAAACATGCAGAAACAGTTTTTGAAAGACAAAAAAGTTTTTCTCCCTGAGTTCTGAAGGCCATTACAACCTGCTTTTTAATAAATACTCTGTTGTTTATTCCTTTAGGAACAAGATGATAACATCTTATTGCCAAGATTTGCCTTTTTTGTGTACTTGTGACAAATGTGTGGCAAAGATTATCACACATACTCATATTTTTCGTCTTTGCAGTTACAAACATGACTCCTCTGTATTTACTGTTCCCAGTTCCCCTCTGATCTTTATCCTCTGCTGGTTTTTAAGATAAAAGGAGTCTCTTCTTTTATTGTCTGTTCTCTTCATCTTCCTGACTCGAGCCATCTGTCTGTTTTTCCACTCACAGAGAGTTAATCTGTCCTTCGATTTCCCGTTTTATGGACATCTCTTGCGTGAAATCACTGTAGCAACTGGTGGTAAGTTGGAATATGCTCTCTGAATAGTAGTTACGTCTGTAATTGTTGGACCAACTGTATATGCTTGGCAAAGTTGAATGTACTGTTATTTTTTTATTGCGATGAGATTTAGGAGAGAGCTGGGGCGATCACAAAATTTATATGGAGATAAGAAACAGATTCTTGCTCAGCTACCTGCCTGGTCGATTGCTCTGTGAAGTAAGGAACTAATATTTACATACAGTCCAAAAAAACACTTACTTAATTTTTCCCTCACTTAAAATCTTGTCCCATGTTTTTTTTATTTTGTTTTGTTTTTTTTTGTTTTAAATAAAACTGAAGTATTTGAAATATTTTGTGGAAAAAGTGGGAATCCTGTAAACCTGAGAACACAGCTCCAAGTATGGAGGTGTCTGCATTATGTTGTGGAGGCGTTTTTCTGCGAGATTAACTGGTGCACTTACAGTTAATTACAGTTCATTCATGATTAAATCAAGAAATAAGAACATTGTACTGAACTATTGAAGTTATTTCACAAAGACATCAACCAAGAAGTTAAATCTTGGTTTCCTAAAGGAAAGTCTACCAAATACAAACTACATGTCTATAAGCTTCAGTAAAAAAAATAAATATAATTGCTTCCCCTCTCATTAGCAAATAGAAATATTTTACAAAAAGAGGAAAAACTTTAGTTTCAAATTCAGTGTTAGACCTTGAGAAAAAACATATACAGTGTATGCAAATATCTGATTTTAATTAGATATGTATCCCAAAATTTTGCATTTGTGTGGACTAAATTAGAAGTGTTAGGGTTAAAGTGACTCGTTTGGCACAAATCGCACAACAGAACCACGAACAGCTGTCATCCAGCCAAGCGGTCGGCATGATGGCAGACTGTTTAAATTTCTCACCTCCATGTAATCGTCTGCTAGCCTGAAAACAAACCGCTCCCGACAGTCGGCACCAGCTTCTCGCTACACCAGACTCAGCTGGAGGAGAAACCAGACCCGGGCTTTTTGGGCTGGAAACACGGATCGCTCTGCCAAGTCGCACCCTCATAGACTCGGATATGTAGGTGGGGGTATCAGACGAGAAAAGTGACACGGCGGTTGTGTTCACCGCTGTGTGCAATGCAATTTTCCACTTGAGTCTTGACAGCAAGACCACAAATACCCCAGCCAGCTATTATCACATCAAAGACCAAAGCCCTGCTTTTACCAAACTACTCCAGAAATGCAGGGCTGTCTTTTGCTGTCTCTGAAATAATATAAAAATGATTTGTTGAGGTTATCGTTATTATCGTCACAGTCTTGAATCTTATCTCGGAAAACTGCTTTTAGAGACGCTCTGTGAAGATGGGCACAGGACATCCTAGCAGGGAGGAGATAAGAATTTGCATTCCTCCAGACTGGGATGGAGAGGCGTCACCAAGCAGTTGTAGGAAGAGGAGGAGGACGAGGAGGCGGCAGCTATCTTCCTCTTACAGGCCTCAGGGGTTTTGTCTCTGAGACGGCCTTCTGTCCTATCCCTTCATCAGTCAACCCATCCTCTCACCACTTTACCATCTTTTCTCCTTCATTCTGTCAGCAACTTAGCTTTTACTCGAGGCATCATTTTTTTCCCACTAGACTTTTACATCTAAAAAGGATAATTATAATTCCACTATGCAGTGTACTTATAACTTATATGGTGCCCATTCACAAGAAATATAATCTAATAAGACAAGACACTCCAAGTCGTATCCAATAACGATTTAAATTCCGTTCAAATGCAATTAAGAGAAATCCAGATGATTTCTTTTCAGTCTGGTTCAAATCCACCTACATATTACTGAATTCAGTGCATATTCAGGTGATCCCAGATTTAATTCATCAAGTGTTTAACTTGATGAATTGTTCTTTTGGTAAACGAGGGAGTTCAGATTTAGCTGCCTGGTTACAAAGTAATGATGAATGAGCTCTTGTTTAAAACAAAAACGGAAGTTGTTGATGATTTAAGAACTTAATTCATCAAGTTGTCAACTTGATGAATTAAAACTGAATTGTGTTCACGGTGAACCCATGTGGCAACCGTGGATAAATCTTTCAACTTTTTACAAAATGAAAATGGGGCCGGATTCAGTATCTGCTCACTTGGGGTTGAGAGAGTAACATTGATAGACAAAAAAACAACAAAAGCACTGAGTCAGGAATACTTTTTATCAGAAAAACACTAAGTTAATGAAAGATTTGCTATGCCATTGGCTTTACTTGCAAACAACGCATAGCTGAGAAAAAAATATATATTGGAAAGAAAAAAAAAAGTACACAAGGTTCATGGCATCAACAAATCCATAAATGACATTATCCAGATAAAAGACTCACTTAAACACAGAAATACCTGGCCTGGGGAACTTTCTATGTGAAAGAAACTCCAAGAATAAACAAAAGGAAAGCAGAGTGAGTAATATATATCAGTTTAACTTTCAGGAGCATTGTCCTAAAGCAACGTAGCTAACCTAAATAATAATAAAAACCTAAAACTCTATAAATGTAAACTTTATTAAAAGGAACCTTAAGAAGGAAAGTTTTAAGCCTAATCATAGACGGCTGTCTGCTTCACTATTGAACAAGAGAGCTGTTTATTAGTCTGGGTTTTGTTTATTTTTCTGTGGTTTTTATTTCAACAAATGATAAGAGAGGTGTCACTTCAGCAGTTTTCCATTTATTTATCTTCTGTCTAAACAGCAGAAGAGCCAAGACCCCTCAAACACAAACTCTCACACAGCCATAACATTGTTTTGGCAAGTGGCCTTTTCAAATGCCTCTGATCCACTTTCATGTTTACATACCAAAAATCTGGAATCATGAAGCAAAACATTTTTTACCAGAACACTTAAAAGTGTCAACTGGTTTATAAAAAAATATTTTTTAATGTGAAAGGATAATCACATGGTCCGGGAATAAGCATGATACCTTTTGTCATTGGATATTTAAAAGGAAGAGTATTGCACACAAAAATAAAAATGTTTTGATTTTCACAAAGCCTCAGGTGTGAGTATTATAGTCCCATCACACTTGAGGGGGGGAAATCTGTTGACAGAATAACCATTTTTATTCTTTACCAAAATTCAACTTTGTAGACTTGATAATGCAACTTATAGAGGAGAAATAGCACAGTATGTCACCCTGAACACAGTGAAGCATGGTGGCGGCAGCAACATGCTGTGGAGCTTTTAGGAATTCTGGTTAGAAGAATGTTGAGGTGGCAAAGAAACTGAATCATCAATGACAGGAACATAGAAAATGCATAGAATGCTGACCTTAAGGACAGACATGTTTCAAAATAAAACAGGAACCTAGTCTGCATTGAATAACTAACTGAATTCCAAAACATATGTACATTAAAATAATTACAATAAAAGCATGAGAAATTTCAAATCTAAGGAAAGAACTGAATAAATTTCAAATTGGAAAAAGTTTAGGGTTTATGGATGTTCTTGCCAGAAACTCTATATCGAGTGCAATTGGCAGCAAAATAACTGTTCAATGCTTTAAAAAGAAATAAATGGCTTTACACCAGCTGTGCTCTTTTTAAAGGCAACAGTTTGTTCTCTTTAATCTGCAACATGTCCAAGAATATTTAGCTAACTATCTGAAAGCAAAGTTAATTTTGCAATGGGAGCTTTTTATGCCGTCGGTGCATAAAAAGCTTTAATGTCCACACACTGTTCAGGTCATCTAAAATTACTGTCCATCTGCTGTTTTCTAGTTTCTCTCTGGCTGATTTTATAATTTATCCTAATATGTTGTTGGTTCATGAACTGCTTCATGTCCTGTGATCTTGGGGTGTGGGTGACTAGTCGGCTATGTACAGTTGCTTCCCAGTCAGCAATAAAAATAAAATAAAAACAATAGAAGGAGACGCTCTAATTAGATGAAGCCTCACAGCTATGTCATTTAAAGCCAGAAGACTAAATCCAAAGCGAGTGGGCATGCTGCTCCTTTCCTGGACCTTCCTCAGCCTCGAAACAGCTGTGATAAACACAAATTGTATTGAAAATGAAACACAGATCTGCTCCTGAGGACAAAGAACTTGTCTAAACATGTTGTACAATAAAGTAAAGCTTTCACTATGAAAGCTTTACTTCTGATCATTCCCGCTCATGTTTTTCTTGGACATATGCAGTTCAGCTCGTTTTTGTAGGCAGAACTCATAAACACGCTCAGAATAAACACCCCGTTTTTTGGCATGGCTTCTCTTCATTACTCTTCTCTCTCGCCTCTATCTTTTGCTCCCCCTGGTTTCTCTCCTCCTCTGTCCAGTCTCCTTCTGGTGATAGTGACAACTATAATGAATGAACAGACGCTTTATTGAGCGTCCTGCAGCCCTGGCCTTTTTAGTGTATTGAGAGGGTGTCTGATTTTCTTTAGACTGTGTATTTAGCTGGGTTGAGTTTTGTTGGTTGGAAGCAGACGCAGCAACACAAATAAAACCCTTTCACAGGCAGGTCTGTGTTTGTTCTTCGTCGAGGAACATTCTAACCTCTTTTGAAATCAGCATAAAAAAAATCAGCATGACTGAGTTGAATATTGACTAAAAACAAGATAAAAAGAATGTTACAGTAAGTGCCATTTTATAGCACAATCAGATATCAATGTTACCTTCAGTAGTTATAAAAATTCTGTAACATATTTTTCTCATATTCCTCTGTTCTCTGGGTTCACGAGGAATTAAAACTGGTTTCATTTTTGTAAACAAACCTAATTGTACCTACAGTTGAAACCAATTATTTACATATTAACGAATGTACACAAAACCATTTTTAATTGTTGTCTAACATCAAATAAATCAAAACTTTTACAGTTTTGGGTTAGACAGGATGACCAAAAATATTCATTTTTGAAATGCTGGAATAATTCCAAAGTTTTTCTCACAGATGGGGAAATATTGTGATATTTTAGCCGGACCTTCTTATACCAGTTCTGCATCTTCTTGCTGTCTCTCACCAAGTTTGTACTATATGTGTTCATACAGTCAGCTTTCTCCTCATTCATTGTCCATTGGAAACTAACCCATATTAAGGAACAGTAGCTTGGAAGGGTAAGATAAAAACTAATTGTCACCATAGTAACTCCTGGAGAGCTCTGCAGGACTCTGCACTCACTTTTTTCCAGGTGATATCCGAACACAACTAAATCAAGTCAAATTTTTCTTCTCCGCTCCCATTCGTCATGTCGAGGCAATTCTGTGCAGAGAGATCTAAAGAAAGACAGTTTCCTCTCACTGCAGGCTCCGTATAGTTTTCAAAGTGATGGATGTGTTTTTATTGCCCATCCGCCATACGTGAGGAGATGCCTTGTCACATGAAATGAGAGTTTATGGGTTCTGGATGTGATTGTAATTTTGAAAAAAAAAAAAAAAAAAAAAAAAAGCAGGGTCCCCCCTCTCCAAGTCTGCATCTTAGTTTAAATTACCTATTCCACATGTAATTAAGTAACTTTTTGCATTACAGGATTTTTGGAGCCATGCAGTTATAGCACTGCATTTCACTTTAAATATTATTAACTTCATAGATTTGATCAAAGGTTCAGGCATGATTTAAAGGAGTATTTCAATATATATATTTAAAGGGCGGTAAACAGCATATTTTATCTTCAGCTAAATGCAGTACAGAGTAGTGCAATATTCTCCCTCCCCCACCTGTTGCTGCTGGTTTGCTGGTCTTTAAAACTAGAATTTGTAAGCTGGAAGAAACCATTTTATTAGGTAGCTGACCTGAGCAGATAGCCTGACTAAATAACCAGATTTCAGCTTGTAGCACAAATATAAAAATCTGAAAGCTGAAATTGAATTATAGTTGATAAATATTAAAAATATATTTTTTATAACATAGATCAGATACGTAAACAAATTAAATGATCTGAAAGTGTTGTTCATTCCTCAAAATTATCTTCCATAATATATCTGATACACTCAGAAAAACTGTTTAAGTCAGCTAGACTTTCTTACAGATGTTTTTAGACAAAAGAACAAAAGCTTTACCTAAAAAGAAATTGTAGAATAATAAGTGAAGGATTATAGCTGACAGTGCCCAATTTTCCAGTCTGCAGAGAAGTGAAGACAGTGCTGGATTCTGCTGTTCTCAGTGCAAATTCTTTCCCCAATGTAATATGTAGTGGCTGTGTTTATGCTTTTTAATGGGCTCCATTAATAACCATGATTAGAGACTTTCAAATATAGAGCCTGAGTTTGTTTTGCCTTTCCATAAAGAGCAAAAAAGTAACAAAAACCCATTTTTGATGTGATGCTGTCCTCATTATCCTACACTAGATAATTAATGACGAGAGAGGAGAGAGAGCACACCAGAAACACTTAGTCTCTGAGCCCTGCACATTTTGCACAGATGTATAGAGAAAAGCCTTATAGTAAAACTCTTGTACAAATCAGAATAAAAAAATTATAGCTATATACTGTTTGAGCTATTTCCAGCAAAAAGTTATTTGTATGAAGTATATAGTTTTGCCTTTTTGCTTGCATGTACAGGTTTCATTTATACTGGAGATGTCGTCCATCGGATGCTCACAGCAACACAGTACATCGCTCCTCTGATGGCCAACTTTGACCCAAGTGTCTCCAGAAACTCTACTGTTATCTATTTTGACAATGGTAAGTGTTTTGTTTTGTTTTTAAAATGATCCCAATGAGTTTTTCTTTGTTGTTGTCTCCATAATTTTGATGCATCTCAGACAAAATTGAGTTAATGCAACATAGGCAAGTCTTACCTGCTGTCATAATTTCCTATTTTCCCACTTTTGCAGACATATTGAAAAACATGAGTTCAGTTGGTCTAAATGTGAATACATTCAACAGATTTTGTGAAACAAAAACCTGAGTCATGTCTTGTCTCATTGCTGATGTTCTTACCTTATGAATAACGTATGTATATTTGGAATTCAGTGTTCTGCTCTGTCAAAATGGGGTATAATACTTTTCTATAACATCAAGAATAGAGTGGAGAGATTTCTTCACCAGCTGGCTAAATATTATATTAGCATGCAAATCTTGAATATTACACACACAGATATTGCGATGATGATATATTTACTTTATATAGTGAAGCTGTGAGTGAAAAGTGATTCTACAAAGGATCACCATGTCGCTGTCAGGTATAATGTTTTCTTTTTCTTGGTTTCTCGCACAAAATCCTAGTCAAATACTTTGAGGTTTGAGGTTGCAAAGTATTACAGTTAATTGGTTATTAATGCTTTTGCAAGCCTAAGTAAACTCTGGGTCTTGTCCATCACTCCCCGCATCACTGTCTCACGCTCTGCAGCAGACTGACAGAACAACTTTGTGACCTTCTGCAGAGAAGCTCATCAGACTTTAACCACGATGGCAGCCAATCGATCCGCAGCCCAGCTCGCTGTCCATCAGTCAGCGTTCTGCCAATACCAAACAAGAACTGCACGCTCCGCTGCGCTGTGGATGAGCCTTCATAAAATATGTAAAAACAAGCTTGATGAAGCGTTCACAGCAGAGATGAGCTGTTTGTTCACAAACAAGGCTGTGTGTGAAAATTCACAGTGAAGGTGTAAAGCTTGGCTGTCCTGTAATCTTCTTTCACTTGTTTTTCTTGATTATAATTTCTAAAAAAAGAAGTAATATGACAGGCGAGGACATGACTGTCATATGCTCTGCCGGAAAATTAATAGACATCTCCAAGGTTATTTGACAAAACTTTAAAGTTCTTTTTTTAGCTGACAATTATTTTCCCATTCCCACATGGGATTTTAGGATGTGAAGAATCATCAGATGGAGAATAATGGAAGTTATTTTGAATGTTGTGCATTAAAAACAACAACAAAACACACTTAACTCCAGCCAATGTTGTGAGAATTGTTGCTTTTCTATGAGTCAGGCATTTTGATGTGACAAAATAGGAGAATAACAATTTGTAATTTTGAAACTGCAGTTATACATAATTGCCATAATTCTTGCCATTTCTTTGCAGTTCATTTTCTGCTATTAAGCCCAGTGACTCACTGCCAAGGCCCTGTTACACTTCTTAAATGCATGGCGGATCAGCTTTTGCACTTCTATAATATGTGTTTCCAACAACTAAACCAAAATATGGTGATAGAGGAAGGTTGGCTCTATGTGTGTGGTGATGTCTTTATGTATTAATTTGGCTTCATGTTTTGGATCATTTTCCATTGGAAAAAATACAATAACTACTCATTTTCAGTTTTTTGCCAGAGTCGAAGTAACTCAAATTCTATATTATAGTTGATACTTTGACTGTGGATGTTTAGATGAGCAGATTTATCTTGTTACATTTTGGATACTACAACAGTGGACAGTCACACATCACTTGTATTGCATGGTCTCTTCTTTTTTCCATTTTGAAGTGTCTAGGACAAATTGACACAGAATGAATGGAGTACTAAATAAAACTTGGAGTCATTAAAATCTGTTTTGTAAAGAAGAGTGACCAAAATTTGCTCCACAACAACTTTAGACACGAGCGGGAAAAACCTAATCATGGGGTGTAACTTGTTTTTCAAAAGCCAGTGTTTTTCCTTTTTAGCTTCTCTTCTGAAAACAAAAACAAAGTGAATCCTGTTGTGTTTTTACATTTGCGATTGAATTTAATTTGTTATGCATTTCAACTCTGAATCCTTTTTTATTCTGATACATAAAATCTGAAACAGAGGGTGTACATTCTTTTTGTTGTGATTGCATTTCTGTTTCCCTTGTCTTGTAAATTATGTTTTAACACACGAGGGACGGTATTTCAAACTTTTACATGTGAAGCATGTGTTCAGACTGAGCGTCCACTAAACACACAGCACGTGATTTATTTTAGGAGCTGCTGTGCTACCAGTCCCCTTTACTCTCCTAGCTGTCAGCAAAGAAGCTGACTCTCATATTTACTTTGAATGGGAAGTGTTCTGGCGTGCAGGAAAAATTGATTGGCTGCTGTGTAAACAAACTTTTATTACTCTGGAAACTGGCCAAATGGCTTTCACATCAATAGGTTCTCTGAAGTCCACAGTAAATCAAAGTGGTGTTAAAAGTAATGCAAGGTTCGCTTTCTGGAAGGCAGAGACGAAGGCCATGTTAGGGAATTATTCCTTGATTTACTCACTCTTGCAGGCTAAATTTAGTTGAACTTCGGGGGGGTTTAAACCAATCATCACTACAACTGTCAATAGATTGATTGATCTTCTGACTCTTTTGTACATACATTTTTTGTGTTTCAAACATCATGAAATCCTCTTTAAGCTGTGTAATAACAACTTGATATTCGAGCAAAATATGCAAGTTTTTTTTTAGTGGCTGAAATCATTTTTAGACCATTAAACTATTTGATTGTACTTTATTAAATGCATGAATTTCCATCTGAAACATGGCATGCAATTAAACCAAGAAAACTGCATTAGTGCAAACAGATCTGCATGGATGAAACTCTGTGTACAAATGCATCCAGGCACATTTCGTTTCTACATCTCATTCAATGTGTAATTGAAAACACATGAAAGAGTATCAAACTCCTCTGTTAAAGTGCATCAATTTCAAAAATATTCAAATAGATGTAAATATACCCTGCATGTCTGAGTCTCGTCTTGAAGTGATGGAAAAACACACATGCAAATAAAAATGATAATTGGAAACATTCCTAAATGTTATTGATCTGCATAAACACACAGACTAAACAGAGACTTCTGTGCATATCTTATTAATAAACATTTTTACACCACAGACTTGCACACATTTGGTGTAAATGACTGTAGAAGTATCAGGGGAAATGATCAGGCTGAATCATTTCAGGATGTTCTTCTTCGGTCACCAAATTTACTGCTGTTGGGTAGAATCCCTGATGTTTTACTCAAGAAAGAGTAGCAATACTTCAGAATAATATTAGTCAAGTAAAGATAAAGAGTACACTGTAGAAAAATGACTGCAGAAGTACATTTTTCTGAAAACTTTGTGAAGTAAGTATAACTGATTAACTGTAACCAGTGGTGGCTATAGAGTTTTACCTTTAGGAATTCATTCTAAGAGGATAATGGAAAAAAATTGAAAGGAGGATTATTTTTATTTAAATTTTTTTTAGCATTTAAACCAATTTTATACACTTGCATTCAAACCTCAAGATAAATTTTCACCTCATAAAAAGCAGACTGTAGATTCAATGCCAGTGATGCCTGTGTATGTAAGCTCCAACCATGTCTGAAACATAAGCTTTTACCTGGAAAAGGACGCATGCCTGATTTTTGTGCATACACACCTGTTGCACACAAAGCTCCAAAACATAACAATCCTCTGTAAGGAGAGCATTCTTGCTAGGAAAAAAAAAGTACAAGATCTCTTTTATCAAATTTCTGTTCCACACTTATAACTGCTGTCAAACAGAGCAGATGGAAACATATATTCTTTGCCATTCCAACACGAAAAGAAAATGTCCGCTCTTAGTTCACTTTGTCATTCGGCACGGTCTTGCACAGCATGGAAAACGCAGTGGTTCCCTGTGGTTAAAAACTGCCCGAACTGTATAATCCATCACAATAATGGCCGCTCTTTGGTTTGGGTTTGTTGAAAGCTGAGGTTTTATTGCGGTTTTATCCTCCTCCAGTACAGTGCTTTCATATTAGCACTCACTCTGATTCAGTGTCAATCTCTGTAGTTCCTGCTGACAAATAATCCTTTAAAGAAATGGATCTCTTCTGATTTAATGCCATTCTATTCTTTACCATGTTTTGTGTCTTTCTTCACATGAGAAGAGGCTACAACTCAGTGTTGTTGTGGTTTGCTTTAATCTGAATTTATCCAGTATGTGGGAGTACGTATATTTTAAATGCATTAATTTCTCTTTAGGCACTGCTCTGGTGGTGCAGTGGGACCACGTCCACCTGCAGGACAACTATAACTTAGGCAGCTTCACCTTCCAGGCCACGCTGCACAACACAGGAAGGATTGTCTTTGCATACAAAGAGGTGAGCTCTTATTTATGGCTTGGACTTTTCTCAATCAGTGTTTTTTTTCTCTTCTGTCTGATTTTCTGTTTCGTATCTTTACTGTGAATATTTTTCACCCTTCCAGTGTTTCTTATTGTGCTATCACAAGTCATTCTGCCCATAAAAGCTTCAGCTCCTCGAATCCAGAGTTGGAAAGTAAACATGGAAAAACTGCATTCTATTTTTATGCAAAATAGGTGTCAAAGAAAGTACAAAACAGTTTCAGTGCTTTAACATGAGATTAGAGTCTGATTTCTCTAAATATATTTACTTAAATTTGTTTATTGAGACTTTTTGAAATTATTGAGGCTTTTTATGACATAATGTGGCTATTCAGAATTATTACTGAATCCTTCATCTTTATTGTCTTGCATGGGTTGCACAAAATGCTACATGCCCTTCTAGCTGAAGCCATTCTGTAGTTCTTGAAGTCAATCTCGACAGGAGCTTATTGAGCAACATGTCAGGCAGACCTTATTTTCAACACACCCATTCAGTGTGAAAGTGACACATTTTAATTATCCCCTCAACTTTAGTACAAATTCAATTGTGACTCATTTCACACTTAAGTCACACAACTCTAGCTGTCTTTTCCCCTGTTGTTTCAAACTTTTAACACTTTTAAAAATATATTTGTCCCTTCTTTACACTTTTTATTTTGGTGAAATAATGTACTAAGTGATGAAGTATTCACAAACAAAATCTGAAAGGGTGGATTTCAAATGATGAGATTATTTATCGAAGGAAAAAATTAAACCAACACTGTCATGTGAAAAAAAAAAAATTTGATCCTCTTGTTCTATCGTTAATTGACTTTCGAGAACTTCGCTTATTCTCCAGAGCCATTTTGTCTTCCAGTGATTTTTGCATGAATAGTGGTCTCAACAAACTCCTGTGCAGTTTCTACGAGCTTGGCATTGCAGTGAGAGTCATTATCCACAAACGAAAAGAACAAGAAACTGTATTGAAATTTCCCCAAGACTAGCTACCAAAGTTACCCAAAGAGTGCAGTGAAATAATTCATACTTCATTGAGGAAGTCTCAAAATAACTCAGAACAACATGTAAATCAATGGAGGCCTCATTTTCCAATCAAGATCAACATTCAATAAGGCCGAAACCACTAACACAAATTTCTTACGTTAGCCAAACTTAGGAACTTTCTGTGAACTGATGAGATGACAGTGGAAGTTTTAAAGTTAGGAATCCAGCATAAAACTAACAGCAATTATAAAGAAGAAAACTTTTTTTTCTCTGTTTTGTGTCATAAATACAACTGCTTTTCAGGAAAACAAAGAAACAGAGTCACACATTTAAAACACACGATACATCACTGGCTGTACTTGTTTGAATCAATAAATTTTGTTTTCTGGCTAATAATCCTGCAGGAAAATGTCCAACCATCAGTTTGTGTCACACCTTATCAGGGTTATGCTTTAGTACAATGATCCAAAACATATCAACAAGTCCTACTCCAAATGGCTAAAGGTATAAAATGGAGAACAAATGTTTCGATTGTCCTTTTTAAAGTCTGGACATAAAATCTGATTAAGATGCTGTGAATTGACCCTTAAAGGTCATGTTCAAAATGATCCAATTAAAACAAATCAGTGGGTATACATTCCTCCACTGTGATATATTTTTTTTCTTTGACCCAGAGCCATCCATTTGCTTATTGAGGTTACAAATTACTGTACAGATTCCTCATGTAGACTGTCACTGTGAAATGTGAGGCTATTTAGACCTGTCGGTTTTTAACATCTTGCTCCAGGGAGATCTGTGTCTTGCTGGTGATGGATATTCCTTTCCTTTCCAGCTCCCCGTCGAGATATCACAAATCAGTTCTGTCAATCACCCGGTGAAGGTGGGCTTGTCTGACGCCTTTGTGGTGGTCCACAAGATCCAGCAAATACCCAGTGAGTATCTAACAGATGGTTTAAATAAGGGACATACATGGTTTGAAAAGTTGGAATAGTTATTCACTTTCAAGCCAGAATGCAGGAGTGCAATTTAAAAGAAAATGTAACACCCAATCTGCCATTAGAGGACGGTAATTTTTCTGCCCTTTAGTATAATTAAAATAAAGCTTAGCTGTGCATCATTTTTGGGCTCAACCAGCTGACAACAAAGATTAGCAAACATATTATGCTAAACAGGCATATATTCTGTCATGTGATAGAACATACCACTGCTGATGTTTCAAGTTTCTTTAGACTTAAAAACGGAAAGAGCTTGTTGATTCAGTAGGTTGGTTCTAAACATGTGAAAAGCCAACCAGATTTTTAAGCATTTAATCAGAAGACATGGTCCAAAGTCACCTAGAATTGTGTTCAGTATTTATAAGGATCAAAGTTTCCCAGTTTACAAGTGAACTTTGTTTTTCTTAAATTATTAGAGCGCTGAGATCAGCCAGATTTATTTTTCTTTCCAGAGATGTCTGGTTCAAAGGAAACCAGACACAGCTCATTCCATTTTGACATATTGTAATCAATACTTGTTTAAAGACAATTGGAGATACTTCAGACTTTGTCACAAAACGCTTCCTCACTCTCATGGGCTCAGATGTAGAATCTGGTGTAAAATAAATAGAATTTATTTGGCAAGTTGAACCCCTTTTTATTGCCTATGAGAAATTCTAGCTAAATTTCTTTCAAAGAAATATCTTGGCATGCTAAACTTTCTTTATATTGCTTCAAGCAAAATGTGAAAGAAACACTATTCCAGGTTTTGATCAAATCCACACACATTTTTAAATTAATGTTAAGTTACATCAGTAATCATGACAAACTGCAACTCTTGCATTATCTTGAAAAGCATGCATATTAGGTTTTATTTTTAATGGATGGGGAAAGAAGAGGACATAAAAATGTGAGCATTTATAGATGAATATTGTCCCTGCAGGAAGAGGAGAAAACACCATTAGAAAGAAGAATGTCATAGCAACTAATCACTACACTTAATCTGTCACCTGTGCAAATTCCCCCTTATACTGTAGTCACTGTAGAAGGAAGGGAAAATTGATTCTGGAAAGACAGATGACAAGAAAAGTCCTTCCAGATAAATGCTTCTGGTTCTGCTCGTACCAATGAAACTTTATTTCTCAGATTTATTTTGTCTCCTGGCTACCGGTTCTGTAAAACTACGTGGAAATGTAAAAGTTAGGTTATATATATATATATATAACCACATAGTCTAATTTAAACCTTATCATGCAGAGGAAGGAATATATTTTGACAGATTTTTTACACCCTTGTCATGCCTGATTATTATCTCCGCACTTTTAACTGCATTAAGCCAAAGTACTCAAAAGGAAACTATGACCGCTATAGGCTACAACAGAAATTCTCTCTGCAGCCAATTACTGCATACCAACTAGGGTAACGAGAGGATTTTATTTAGCTTTACTAAAAGATTTCATTTTACCTCCGGGCAGAAGATTGGGCAGAGAGAGATTTATGGGTGTCCCACAGTCAGGTTGTGCAATTAACAGGTCACAAGCACACATGACAACCCAGCTTTAATGCACGTCTCTGAAGATTAATTAAACTTTACTCAGAGTGATATTTTTTTAAATGAAGCCAAAACTCTGCTCCATACTTTCTTGCCTCCCAGCGCCTATTTTCAGAGGATGATGCAAAGACTGGAGCTGGGAATTATGCACAGTCTTGAGCTATTTTTAATTAATATTTGGTAAAGATTTAAACAAGTGCAAATATATTTAATACATTTGGCGCTCTCTTGGAGGAAGAACATGCATCATCTCCACCGAGCCTGTCGAGTCCCTAAATCAACTGGCAGCCTTGAGCTAGTAAACTAACCTTCCCCAGGCTCCATTTTCGCCATTAGGTACCTGATAATCTCTTTGCTAGAAGCAAGAGGAAGTCAGACACAGGGGGACGAGAGGGGTAAAATGACTGGTGGACTTATTTTCAGGCTGATCTGAGCTGTCTTGCATTTCCTCTGATCAGTTGTCCCGTGCGTAATCCAAAATTAACAGGTCTGCAGGGAGGTGACATCCTAACACATGAGGAAAGCAACACAGCATCGGTGCACTTAACAGGTTCAAAGGTTATAACACATGGATATTTGAAACATATTAATCAAATAAACAAAATTTTAAGTGATGAATGGAGAATAAAGTCTGAAAATGCCAACATTTTCTCCTAATTATCCAGATGTGTAAATTACCTAAATCAGATATTTTCTTAATCCAAAAGGCACCATGCTATCAAGTAATTTCTGACTTTAGAAAGTGGATGAAATGCCTAGAGTTATATCTAATTACAGTTAGTTGTACTGAATTTTACTCTGTATCTCAATTATGTCTACCAGAAATTATAAATGTACATTCAAGTAATATATTACACTAGTGAGGTTTAATCTCTGGTGCCCAAAAATCCCATATGTTTATTTGCAACTTGTATTGGATGCGCTTCACAACAGTTCCACAGTTTCATTTGATGATTTCGAATACGCCTAGTAAGCAAAAGCTAATAGGTTTTTCTAGACCAGCTCGGGTTCGCTCAGGGTTTGTCTTTAATCATGTGCTCCATCTTACCCCATCAGATATCTTGCTGTTGCAGCCGACTGGGTCAGACTGATGATATCAGGTCCCAGAGAAAATTGCCCCGGTCCATTTGCCAAGTCATAGCCTGACACTTTGGGCACAAAGAAAGCAGAGAAATGCTGTAGCAGCATCCAGTATGACCTGATTCTCCCAGCAACTCTGTTTCCGCTTTAGGAGATCTTTTGTCCCAGTTTTTTGTCACAGGGTTCAAGATTTACTTTTTGTCTCCAGAATCTCAAACTGTCTTTGTCTTCTGAAACTAGACGTAAGACGGAGGACGATTTATGAGTATCACCGTGTGGAGCTTACGAAGACGAGGATCACCAATTCTTCCGCTGTGGAAATCATGCCTTTACCCAGTACGAAGGACATTGTTTTTGTGGCTTTTTTATTAGAAGAAAATTCTCAGTTAATTTATCATCTGTTATAAAAAATATTTCAAAAACAGTCTATATGTGTTGACTCTCCTCTTTTGCAGCCTGTCTCCAGTTCACCAGCTGTAGTACCTGCATCTCCTCTCAGATTAACTTCAACTGCAGCTGGTGTCATCGGCTCAACAGGTTCGACTTCCTTTACTCCATTTTACTTTTCCTCATAGCATATACACACTGTTATTCATACTCTTAACAATGTTTTTTCCAATCCTGGTGTACAAGATACACCGCCCTGCATTTTTTAGATGTTTTTCTGCTTTCGCACATCTGATTCAGATGGTTGCAGCTCAGTAAAAGGGCCAGAGTTGAGAAACACTGCATTGCACATCTACCTTTAAAAACAAAACTCTGTAGTTTGGCAGTAGCATCTAAAAGTTTTATTTTTAAAATTCAAATTTGTTCCTTCAAAAAGGCAATGCTGAAACCCATTTTTTTCCATTGTGATTTTAATCAGTCTGTAAGGACTAACTAGAGACAAGAAAACAACATGACTAGAAACACTAAGAAGGACTGAACAAAAGTAAGCAAAACAGAAAAATGTCTGGTCTAATCAAAGAAAAGGGCTAAGGAACACAAAAATGATCTCAAACAACCCAAGATCCTGACAGCATTTAATATTAACTTTACAATAATTTTATATATAAACTGTTTTCATACAAAGCACAAAACTGTTACAAAGAAATGAGAAAAAAAATTAAGCAGCACAGAGCGCACGAGTTCAATAGGATGTTTTGTAGCTTAAAATTAGCATAGGTCTGATGTATTCTGCAGTGTTCAAATATAAGATGATGAAAAGAAGGAATGTAGGGTGATAATTTGTGCACAGGTTATAATTGTGCAGGATTGTTCAAAAATAAAAAGCAAAGCAGCTCCAAAGCAATGGATGAATGTATTAGTAAAAGGTTTATTTGCTTTTGTCAAGTTGGGCATTGAAAATTGTATGAAATAACATTGATTCAACGTAAGACATGGCATTTTAAACCCACATTTCCAGCAACGTAGTGGCATTTCTGACAGACAAGGTGATGCAATTCAGTGAAAAACTTTACCCTGTCCTTTTCGGAAGACTTAGCAGCATGAAATTAGGAAGAAAAAAAAAGCAATCACAAAAATTAGGCCTCTGTTTGACTTTATAGTATGTTGCATTTCTACTTTTATGAAAGTATGTTTTTTTTTTATCAAACTTTCTGTCAGTTGCAGACTTAGCAGAGATTTCATTTTCTTCTGCTTTTATTCCCCTCCAGAGAAAAGCAGCTGTATTTAGTCGGCAGCTCATTTTGACAGTAATTTGACTCGCACCTGTTCAGCCAACTTCTGCTCCACTTTCTTTCTAACCTATCCCCCTTGTCTCTCAAACTTCAAACAAACGTAAATATTTGAGCAGCCAAAAAGGTGTTGGCGTTCCTCTGCAGAATTTCCTGACAGCTGAAATGTGAGCTGCAGTGTATTTGATTTGATTTCGTCGGATAGAAAAGTCTGAGTTAAAGACACACAAGAGCAAAGGGAAAGAATTATGGAGAGATGACGCATGATCCGCTCTGATTTCAAAAGATGTTTGCTGTCCTGATGACGTCCTTTGCAGAGATTGCTATTTGGCCATCATGTCTCTTTCATTGTCAATCTACTTTTGAATCTGTAAATATAAAACATGAATCTGCCACTCCCTTATTTTTTGAGCAGTCAGTAAACGTGAGTGATGTTTGAGGGAAGCGAGCAGTATTGATGTCCTGATCATTTTGATTTGTTATTGAGGCTCTACAATTCGTTTCATACAACATTCTCACGACTTGGCATCTTAAATCCTGGTGCATTTGACAAAGACAAACTAATTTACACCAACAACAAAAGTGTTTATGTATTCAGCGGTTTATGGATGTGAAGCGATACTGTACCGCGCTTAGCAGCAGTCTCATTAAGCTGCATTTTAATTAGCGTTCCGACTGTGTTAATACTTCACAGTTCAGCTCCCCTACCCTTCCCTCAGCATCTTCTAGCCACTTCCTTTTAGAAAAGGCAAACATGCTTTTGGCACACACTAATTAAAAAAACATTGTGGCTTCGCTGGCTGTGAAGTTAATGAGAGACGCTGACGTTTGTAAAAGAACAGCCTCAATGAACTTCCGTCTAAAGGGCTGGGACGGTTCAAGCGCAGCTTCTCTTTCATGCTAAGGTACAAGTGGAAGCTGGGTAATAAAGCATCTGAATGCTGATGTGTTCAGAGCAAGCTTAGAGATTTGTTGTTTCTATAAAAGCAAGAAAAGCTGTTGCACACCATAAACGGGACATAAGGAGCCAATGCAAAAGGTTTTGCTCCTTATGCAGTCAATGTATAAGGAGCAGAACTTAGAAACCCTTTTCCTTAAAAATCTTTATACAAATATATATTAGTCTTACTCCTAGTCGACCCAAAGAAGAAGCAAACTAAGCTGCTGTTTCAGTTATTGAGACCAGCAGGGGGCCGCTAGAGAGCTTGACCACTTCGCAATAAAGTTACAAACCAAAACTGCCAATGACCTGCGTGAGGGTTTTACACAGACCAGCCAGAGAGACCCTGAATGGATTCCAAAGAGTATTCTTAATTTAAAAGTCCAAAAATAATTTCAAAAATTTTGAATTGGGCCCAAAACTGAGATCAACACAACAAACTACAGCTCAGGTAGTAACACAAAGAACTCAAACCCTAGACTGACCTAACAAACAAGACATGAGGGGATCTTAAATAGTGTTAAAATCATTCAAATGTAAGACCACCCTGTCATGGCACAACTTTTCAGCAGATATCTTTGTTCAAATTAAAAACTTTATTTCCTTGAACTCTCTTTTGTCTTTATGTTGCATTTTCTTTTCTTTTGCCAAGCTTACTGCATATTTTTGCAGAAGTTTCACAGTTTTTTCTTTTCTTTCCATGTCATAAAATGACTTTCTAGTTTGCAGAGTGTTCATTTGGCTGCACGTTTCATTAAGCTGCTCGGAACAGAGCCCCCTGAGCTTCTGCAAATGTGCCAAAGAAAAACAACTCAGTGTGCATGGAACATCTGATGCAATGTAGACCTTCCTGACAGAACTGTGCAATTAGATTAAACGTTAAACACGTTTGAAGACATTCTGTGATCAGTCTGTGCTGCGTTGCTGCGGTTTGCATCCTGAGTTAGAAGTACGGATGTGGTGACTTTATAGGTTTAGAAAAAAAAAAAACGGCTCATAACAATTGTGATCCGTTGCACACAATTTAAACAACTGATGGTGGAAAACACAAAACAAGATGTTTAAAATTAGTAGTCCATCATCTACACTATATCCAAATGTGTGGTGCTGAAACGGAAGTCACATCCTGCTGAATGAGTATGTGCCCCAATGAAATTGGAAATATGCAAAAACTGAGGTAGGATTGGTTTTCGTCAGCAACGTGGAGTGCTGTTTTCAGAAATACAAATGTTTTGTCCATGATTTGTTTCAATCTGTGGGACGTGTGAGATGCTAGTGTCTGCTCATTTCATCTTAATTCTGATTAATTCAATTTGTTTGTTTCACAACAAGCTAACTCAGCCACTGATGAGCTTTAATTCTAATTTGGTTAAGTTAATTTCAAACCTAGGAGTAAGATTAAGCAATGTGGCAAAGATGTTACATCACAGTCTAACCTACTCATACCGTTGAGTTTCAAAAAAGCAGATACTAAGTTGTTTATTGGTCAAATTCATGTTCACATGGGACATGTAGGAAATATAACTGTTCTATAATGTTATGAGAAAATCTATAGAATGATTCTTAATTTGTTGGCACAAACCATTAGTCGTTTATGGATCAAGAGAGTAAAAATGCAATTAAATGAAAATCCATAAATTCTCACAGAGGAGCTATAAAATGGGAAATTGAAGAGATAACTCATGATAAATCAAAACATTGAAACCAAATTCACAATTTGGTTTCAAATTACAAAATTGAAACTAATTTCAGTACAGTTAGGTACTGAGAATATTTGCAGATATGCTTGTCAAATTAAACGTTTCAAATAATAGCTGAAGTAAGCAGTTACAAAATAGGCAACATTTGTTGTCAACTATTGTTTTGTTATCAGAACATTTAGTCAGCTGCATTTTCCTGAGCTAGACTGGCTTGTATTGTGCCAATAAGAAAAATAAATTACTTCTGCAATTTGATTTTTATCTCTTACCTAATAGGTTGTTCTGGGCAAATTTTAAGTCCTCATTATGTGAATGAGCAGTAGAAAATTAATTTGGCTCTGATGGCATGGCTTTGGCTTCACAAAAGAACACTATCAGCAGTGAAGCAAATCAATTAAAAACGCTTTATCTGGCTCAAATTCATTCAGAACATAAAAATGACTTGGTTAAAATAAAAACTTGGCAACATGAATGCCAGCTTTCTCTGAACCAAAATGGCAAAAGCAACACAATCAGTCCATCATGCTGGGACTGAATTGAAAAATTCAAGCTGAAATATTCTTTCATTTATATTCAAATGAACCTTCACCAGCCCGTCTGATTAAATGCGGCGCGGCTCAGTGCGTTGGGCGACAACTAGCTGAAATGGATCAAACCGAGAAGAGACAAAGCTCAGGCACAAGTTAGACCAAACCTCTTTGGTGATATTGAGCCAGACTGTGCTGCCTTTGCTGCACCCTAAGGATGGGGAATAGCAGTCAGGAGAAAGTGAGGGATTAAATGGAGGAATCTGCTTCAGCTGTTTGAGCAGACAGACTTGGGGGCATAGCTAAATTACCATAACAATGTGCTCTTTAGAGAATCTTTTGGAGACCTTATTTGATATTTAGTGGTGACCAATTAGTCCTCCTGAGCAACAAACTAATCTGGCTTTTCAGCTAATTCTGGAAGATTTTGCTGGAGCTATTCTCAGACCCACTGTTAACAAATCATTCTAGCTGCTTCCATACAATAAGTTGAACAGGTTAAACAATTTTTAGTGGGAGTGTTTTTTTTTCTGATTTAATTGGAGCTGTCATCTGCACAGATATTGCTATGAAAGCACAAAGTTCTCCTACTGGTCGAAGAGACTTGTACAAAGGATTAAAAGAAGGGGTTACAATGATTGTTCAAGCGGTGATTTGTTCAAAACTATGTTTTTAGCATGGAATTGTTTTCGGCACTACATTTCTTTTTCTTTTAAATGTTGAATTTTTCTAAAATTTTCTGTGTAAGATTTCAATAATTTTACAAATTTGTAAAATAAATACATTTTTAAAATACTTAGCTAGAGGAATCTAAGCAACTAAAATGGGGAAAGTTGATCATCTACTTAATAGGCATGAAATTATCCTGCCCCAATTTTAGTAATTTAGGCTTATTACAAGGAAAATGTTGCTTGCTCACGCTTTTAAAAAGTGATAATTTGCGGCTTTTCTTCTCCTGACTAAAGCGTAAATGGTATATAATTATCTTTAACTATCAGTCAAACAAAACATCTAAGTAACCACAGTAGGCTTTACAGTGACTTAAAGGATCACTTTACTGTGTTAACTTAGTTTTGTTTATATATTTATAATATTAGAGTAACTATACAGTTTTAACATTTTGTTGTTGTTTGTGTGAATGGCAAAGCAACTTCAGTAGATTCACAATCCTGAAAACCCCAATTCTTTTGACATTAGTGGTCATCTTTTTAGTGAAATCAAGGCAATCTGTGGGTTGTAAGAGGAAAAACCTTTTTTAAGTGTTTTATTTTTTTTTTTTACATTTTCTTTCTTTTTTCCTCAGATGCTCCAGCGGCTTTGACCGCCATCGACAGGACTGGGTGGATAACAGCTGCCCAGATGAGGTAAGGATTCAATAAAAAGACTTGACCTCAGAGTTCAGTCCGATCCATTTTAGTAACAGTATCTGACATCATTCTTGGATCAGATATCAGGCTGAGGTCATCGATCCAGACGGCACTGCGTTTTTAGACATGACCAAAAATAGGGCTGGGAGTATTGGCATTGTCAGTGTTTTAAAATTAAACATTTGTAATGAATTGGTCCTGAAAAAACAAACATATTTCTGCTCTACTATGTCCAGATTTTTGACATATTACATTCTAATTGTGAAATCAAACATAAAAATATATTGATGGCTGTGGTTCCAGCTTCCTTTTGCACTTTTTATCCTTTGAGAGTTTGTACAAAATATAAAACAGACGTTCTTTCCATCAGACCAAAGACAAGATGTGCGACATAGACGACACTACGCAACTGTACACCTTCACCACCACTATCACTGCCAGAACAGCATCGAGAAGTAAAGGAAGCACAGCAGGCTGGGGCACACCTTCCACCTCTCATCCTCCCACCAGCGCTCCTACTGAAGGTAAAGTACAGGATAAACTAAAACTAATTTGACAATGAAGTCTTCATAGGATCCCAGGACAACAAGTGAATGATGCTCTGTTCAGGCAGTCACTATAATTGAACTTTTATAAATTTGCACCAATAAAAAGGATACTATAATTCACAAGCATATTCAAAGAAGTAAATGTTTACAAAATTTGAATGAAATATTTTATTTGTCCTGTCTGGACAAGGTATGTACAACTGGAAGGTATTTGAGATTTTTTCTAGTCATAGCATTAAATAAAATATTACACTGTTATGTTTAGAATATTAAATTGGCTTACTCAAACATGTGCATTCATTATTTTCTCCTCGCTTTTAAGAGTAAATTTTATAAAGTAATGTAATATTTAACCTACAGCCAAAGGGCTTCAAACAAATTGAGATTTTAGGGCATTTGCTAAAATATTTGTCTATTTTTGAATATTTGAAAAATATTCCAATAATTTTAAGAAATCAAACAGGGAAATATTTATGAAAGGTAAAATAAAGAATTAATTTTACAAGTCTATGAACAAAAACATCAAAGAACTGCAGTGTAGTTGCAAAGGGAAACAGAAGCCAGAAAGTAGCTTTCTTTAATTTATTCAGCAATTAGGTTGTTCATTACTGTGCCAAATAATTACAAATGATTGCACATGAAATATTTATCTGAATATTGACTTTGTATTCTTACCTAAAGTTCCGTGCAGGCAACAAACATCAAGAAGGTTGTGTTCATTTGCTACCTGAAGAAAATGTATTCAGCATGAATTATTGTACCTCAGCAGGAGACTAAACCAATGCATAATGTAGTGGTTATCTAGTGAAAATCCTCTGTAAAAAGCAGCTGACACAGTTCTTTTCCTGATAACAGGAAAACAGTCAAGGTCTCCTTTGAAGTGTGTTTACTTCCATTTCTTTGGCTTGCCAGTTGCAGCAGTTGTGCATTGGTTAAAGCTACTGTTTACACTTTGAACTCGTTTGTACTTGCATAATTATTTATTAACTTATTTTAGTTAGAGATAGTTTATCAAAAATAACCTCACATGCGGCTTGAATGTTGTGCCCACACACTATGACACGATGTTGCCATAGAAACCCTTTATAATCAAAACTAAAAGCATGCAGTACTTTACATAAGGTTTTTTCTTCTTGTGCTTTTCTATTGATGTTACTCCAGCTTGATGTCTGGGATCAACAATGAGTTAATGGACCTCGATTTCAGACATGTACGCTTTCCAGTCTGATGAGCTACAAAAGTGTGTCAAGGTTTGGAGTCATCCTTAGAAGCACCCCTGATAAAGATGCATAACACAATTCATATTTTATCACCATAGCACAGTCCTGGGAACAGATGACTACAGTTGCATAACAGTGAGCTGGTGGAGATTTCTTTTTACCGTCCTTAATATTCTGTCCACTGTACATGATGACCAGATAGGCCTGGATTCTGACTCACCCACGTTTGTCACATCTCTTATATTAAAAATGTAGCCATTGGTCTGACTTATTTTATTGTAACTATTTAAAAAATAGCTATTCTATTGCAGTCATTTTCTGATTAATTTATGGCTTAATTGAATGACATGTTCTTTCTTTTCTATTTTGATGAAGGGCTGTAGAAAGCATCTGAATTTTTTTTGTGTATGGTTATTCGACTGGGACGAAAGATGCGTTGGGCCCTGGTTTTCAGTGAAACAGTTACATTTCTGTTGCGATCCACCATAAATGTAACTTAACTTTATTGTTAAGTTGTGGGTGTTTTCAAGGTTTCCCGCATTTAATCTTTGTTGTGGATTATTTTTAAAGGTGTTTACTTCTATCGGTTGACCTTTTGTTCATGACAGGCCTCTGGAGCTGAGATTTTTAAGGACAGGCCCTGATGGCTGGGCTGCTGTGTGGAAAATAATCCAACTGTGGGAATAAACACAAAGAGGAGTCCAACAGTTTCAGATCAAAACAGGGTGTGGTGAGACAACTAACCATGCATCTGAGGTCGCCAGGGGTTACACATGTGTATTTGTTTTGGTTGACATTCAACAGACAATTTTCCCTCAACAATCACTTGTTCTTCTGCTGCAGCAGGTCAGAGGTCAGGTTAGTGAGCAGTTTGTGGATCTTTCAAATGCAGGAAACCTCTAGCTGGATGGGAGAGTTTGAAAACAGAAAAAGAGGCAGAATGAAGATGAGAAATACATGTGGAAGGAAGACTGTTGATTGCAGCACTTTATGTGTTTGCCTTGATGTAAAGCATCAAGGCAAAAAAGGCAGAAAACAAACTTTATTTGTTACTTTAATTAGGACATCTTATTCTGAAGGTTTCCAACAGAAGAAGATTGAGAGTAATAATGGGAATCCGGATGTCTGTTTCCCAGTCTGAACTCAGAAAAACACCATGTGTATCTTTTTCTCGGTTTATATATTAGACCAACAAAAGTAGTGCACAATTGTAAAGTGAAAAAAAAATTACTAAACAAAAAATTGTAGCTTTTTCTTTGTAGCAAGTTCCCTATGCTATAGTACACTTCATGTGGTGGGCAAAACTGCTTGTTCACTACCAATTTGCAAATCAAATACTATTTTTTCAGTCAACAGAGTGCTCCTGTGAACAGCAATTTCCAAGTCTTGCCACAGATTTTCATTTGAATTTAGGTCTGGACTTTGGCTAGGCCATACTAACACATAAATATACTTTTATCCAACTATTATAATGTAGTGCAGGTTGTATGTTTAGGGTCATTGTCCTGCTGGAAGGTGGACAATTTATTCCATAGTCTATATCTTAATATACAATAAAAGTGCCGGCCATAAGGTGGCACCAAACATACCAGATAAAGAAAATACAGTAGTGGGATATCCAACTTTGTGGATAATTTATCTTGTGGTAAACAAGGATACAAAAACTGCCATGATACTCCTACTACTCTTTGGAATAGACTATATAAAAGTCAGCACATTATCACCCCAAAGGTGGCTATAACAAAAACTCTGAGTGAAATGTGTTCTTGCCTGTGATTTCAAAGCAGCTGGGCGGTCATAGAGAAGCATCTAAAGCACTAAACTTTGAACAGGATTTCTTCTCAGATTGACCAGTATTCACTTTCCCATCAGCACCTGCCACCACTCTATGGTGTGAGATTATCTTCCAGTAAATAATAATTGTTGCCTGTTGTAGAACTTATGGAACAACTAATTTCAGACACTAGGATATGGTTTCATTGTCTATTTGAAACTAGGAGCAGTTGCTCTCTCTGAATAAAGTCATTGAGGCAAATGGAACTAGTGGAAAATTTGCCAGATTAGCATAATGTGAATGGTATGGTGTGTAAGAGTCTGTTACCCTTGAAGTAGAAGTGGGTCATGCTACATCTCCATATTTCACACGTATAGTTAACCCCAGACTGATATTATGTGTTGAATTATTGATGCTTAGTCATTATATTCAAGGCATTCATTTTTAATAAGCGTAGCAAATGAAGATGGTTCACTAATGAAAGAAGCTTCGTCTCATTTGGGGCCTTCAGGGGAGGTCCTAATAGAGTTAAAGCATCAAAAACAAACTACAAAGAGAAATTCTGATTACTTTGTCTGACTCCTGTGGTTCTTTGTCTCCACGCAGATGATACCAAGATTGCACTGCATCTCAGAGACAACCAAGGTGAGTCTTCAAAAACAGAATATTGTAATGACTCTGAGAATTGGTGCTGTTTGAAAACACATTCTCATTTCTTGTTTGAGAGAAATTGCAAGTCCATGACTTTCTATCACGCCTCTGGATGCTAAAATGCCATATTCCTCCAAATCAGCAGAGCACAGGCACTGTGAGGATGTTTTTGCATTTATTTTCTATGCATTTAACCTTTTATCACCCTGAATGAGGTAATGCTATTCAAGGTGATATGAGTCTGTGAAGAAGATGCAGCTTAAGCATAGGAAGTAATCTTGAGGTGATTTTAGGTGAAGCAACAACACAGCTAGACTAAATCACCTTTTTCTCAGGAACTGAGCAAAACTAGATTGTAGGTAGTTAAGCTTTCATTGTGTGTTTCTCTAAATCTCTTGTGAGGTGAGATGTGGGAGCAGGTTTAGCCCTCTGTACAACTGATTTGTCTGAGGTTCTGCTGAGGTCATCTGTTCGATGCATTTTACTGCTCTGTTAAAGCTCTGCTATCTTAGACACCTTAATCAAGACCAAGATGATAGAGGGCTGGTCTCCACCTGCAACAGAATGCCCCACTCCACAACAATAGTTAAGCACTGCTGGGATTTTCTGTCACTGATGCTCTTTAATGACAAATGTTGTGTGAAACCACCACACCAACCGGTTGCTATAGCTTAACAACCTCCTAGATTGCTGAGTATTTTTATCCAGGTTTGTGGCTTCAGCGTGAACTGATTTCTGATCATCTCTGAATCCCAGTCACAAGCCTCCACCACCGTGGCAGACGAGAAACCCGTCACATCATTTTGGCTTCATACTGGAACTGAAACTGCATAAAATCAATCTTAAAAAAAAAAAAAAAAAAACTCTGTCGCTTCAAAACTGAATGTAATCGGGTGTCTTTTTTTCAGCTAAACTGTTTTTACATATATATGTAGGTTTTCAGTATTTCTCAATGATTGTTTGTACTTAATGGATGCTCTGACCGACACAGTTACAGCGAGCGTTCTCACATGTTGGACAGGTTTGATTATCATCCCGTTATTCTGTGCGCTGGGAGTGAATGAGGCAGAGAGCCAGGGGAGAGCTTGGTGGGCTGACGAGCTCTATGCTGCTTACAGCTGCTAATTAAAGACAGAGAAGCCTGGGGAGAGGTTGTCAGGGGGCACACAGAGGAAATAAAATGGATGCGACCTGAACCTGGTGTACATCTGCTGAATACATACATTGTAGCTTGCTTTCTCTGTTTCACTGCAAGTAAATGAGAACTGAGCTATCCCTGAATGTTTTATTTTAGCTGAAAAATTGGAAAGAAATTGCAGGAGATGCTGTTTTGTTCTCCTGCAACTGAGCCCAAAATGATAAAAAGAGATTGGTAGAGGTTTACAGGAAGTTCTTTACATTTTTCAAAAGCATTATCACAACCTCTGCTGTGTCTCGTGGCAAGCATGAATCTTAAGTGATCCACACAACTGCCACTTCACCAAAAGCTTGCAGGAAGAGAAAATTATCTTTAAAGTTTAAAGCAGACCTTTCAAAGCTTGGAGGAGGACAGCAAATATAGAGAAATAAAAATGTAGGATACAGTTTAAATTGCTCTTTCACACATGCATGCCTGAATAAACTCATCTAAAGTGCCATCTCTGTTTTCAGTATGGTAAATATATGAACTTCAGGGAATATTGAAACTGTTTCAGTTGATAAATGGTGATTGCCCCCTATTGGTTACTAAAAGAGCTGCAATAAAATTTTGAAACATTTTGAAAGAAAATAATTTTTCAAAATGTAGCCTTTTGAAATTAAGACAAATGGGTTTTCTTTTCAGTAATGCCAGCTGACAGCGCCGTCAACAGGGTGCCAGGCACGCATCCTCTGCACACCGGTCTGATCTTGGGCATCCTACTGGTGATGCTCGTCATGATTGCCGGCGTTCTGATCACGGTCTACATGTACCATCACCCAACCTCTGCTGCCAGCCTCTTTCTCATTGAGGTGAGTAGTATAGCAGAAACATCAGGATAAGAACTCTGGGTTGAGCTTCTACTCAATATGCACAAATACCAATAATGCATAATTAAAGTCTCTTACAAAGAAAATTCAGCAATAGGCATTATCTAAAACAATGCTCATGTGGAAAAGAAAACGTACTTGCAATATTAAAATAAAATAAAATGGGACTTTGCTGGGACATTACATTGTTGGAATGTTGTGAACTTTTGCTTATAGTAATTTAATTTTAACTACATCCTATGACTTACATGCAGTAGAGGTTATCGACTTTGTCCAGAGTAGTATCATAATAAACAAATTAAATGTCACATTAATTGTCAGGGAACCTGGTTTCTTTATTTATGAGGCAGTCGTAATGTTTGGCCATCGGTTTGAGACCTTAACCTTAAGCATACTTGGGTTATGAAGCAGAACAATGATGCAAAACACTAAATCAAGGCCACGTTTAAATGGGTCAAAATGAGAAAATGAATGTTTTGAAATGACCTAGTAAAAGTCAGGGTTTGAATTTGATTCTGATACTGTTGACTGTTGATGCATTGAAAGTCTTCAATGCGACTGTATAAAGGCAGTTTTAAATACAGTTTCTATTCCTTTATAAATGAAATCACTATTAGAAATTTTATTTTCTCAAGTTAAGTCTCATTAAAATATTTTAAATAATCTGAAACACTTACATGTGACAAATACAGGAGGAAATGTGTATGAGAGTAAATACTTTTTGACAGCAACCTTCAACATTGTAGTTTTATCTTTCATCTTGACGTGCGTCATCTCCACCCAACTGCAGAGACGTCCAAGCAGGTGGCCGGCCATGAAATTTCGCCGGGGTTCGGGTCATCCCGCGTACGCTGAGGTGGAGCCGGTGGGTCATGAGAAGGAGGGCTTCATCGAGTCAGAGCAGTGCTGAGGTAGGAGGTGAGGCATTCTCATCTCCACCTGATGCCTCCCTGTCAACCCTTCCTGCTTCACCAGGAGCCTCTCACCCAGAACCTCCACGATCAACCTATCGGTTTAGGAGCTTTGGTAAAACTCTGAATTTGGCCCTTTAGAGCTAGATGAAACCCACTGAACAGCTCCTGTTGGTGAGGAACAGACTTGCAGGGGGGATGGGACAGCACTGAGACATCATCAGTTCAGCTGGCATTGATGAGGATTTCTGGCTGCTGTCATGATGCCAGGGAGGGACTGGACTCACTGGTTGTTTTTGTCCAAGCAGGAAGCAGGGTGACTTATACAATATATATTTTCAGAACCAATATAGAGCAAGTGAACAGAGACTTCCACTTGATTGTCAGTGGTGTTATAAGCCTTTGTATATCCATCTGGTTTATACTAGTTTTCCTTTTCGTTCCTTTTTTTTTTTTTTGCAATTATCAGTATGATAGGGTTGATACGTTTCTCTGTTGGTATTGCTTTTCAATACCACAGCACAGCAGATGTAATTGACTTTTCCACAGCCTGCTCTGCTGTGCGACGTGACATGAGCTGAACAGTCATTGAGATCAATCAGAGCTCTGAACATTCAGCTGCTTTTTTTATGGGTTAGGTTATGATGATAAGCTGGGGAGACTTGGTGGGTTTTTTGTTTTATTTTGTTTTCATGGGTGATGGGAACATTTCTTTTGTGTTTTTATATTCATTAAGGCCATGCCCTTTTGTCCCTGACTGGAATTTGCACAGTTTTTTTTTCTTTCATTTTCATGCACATTTTTAGATCTTGCAGATTTACAAGACAGGTGCTTGTGAGTGTGAATATATTTTCTGAAGTGTCAGTGATTTGTGTGTGTGAATACAGAGGAGTAGTTAACAGCACTGATGGGATATCTGCTTATTTTATGGGGTTTTATGTGTGAGCTGGCTCTGTACAGGTGACACTTACATTTAGAGGTACAGACGATGTGCAGTCAGGTCTTTACATACAGTCATCATGATAATGAATGACATATATTTTAAATTCTAACCTTTTACTAGATTGTACATAAAACTTCATTTATTTTTAAAAACAACAATTGGGCATAGAAATTTTAATCTTGTAGATTTTCTTTGATCCACAGTAGTATTTGGTTAGCCACTCTCTGATCATTAGGGTTAAGAAACTACATCAGTTCTAAAGCTTCATTTTGGTTCTCCCAAAAATTCCACAGCTTTGCCTAATTTCAATTTATTGCAGGTTTTCTTGAATCCTTACAGTCAAAATTATGCACAATCTGCCTCACTAATCTTTGATTAAATGTGGTTGTACCTTGATTGCAGGCTTTTTGTAGCTCTCACCAACATTGTGGTATGACACTGACTTCATGCTTAGCCACTCGTCTTAAGTGCAAAATACTCCACAAAATCTTATTCCCGAGGGTTCGGGTTATCTTAAAGTTAACCTGCTTTATTTACTCCAAAATCCCAGGTTATATATGGGATTATTGTTCATTTAAACTCATATTTGTGATGACATTTAACTGTTAAAAGTCTAACTTCTGATTGGAAGTGAATGATAAGTCTTCTTTTTAACACAGTCAAATAACACTTGTTTGATGATCCTAAAATCTGAAATACCCCAGTTTGTGTAAATATGCATTTACTCTTGTAGATATTCGGTAAGTTCCTTGCGCTTTTCCAATGTTCTGAGTATTGGTCAATCGAATGTGTGACACCAAATCTGTTTTATCCTAGAAAAAAAAGAACTACCAGATATCATCGATCACAATCACCAATGAGAAAGTAGTGGTACCTTCAGCATTACATGTTTAACAATTTAGGTGAATGCAAGCACATGTTTGAGCCTGTGTGTGAATAATTTTGACTGTGTGGAGTGAGAAAATCCACACCAACTTCCAGCGAAATTATGTTTAGAACATTGTTAAAGTAATTCTAGTAATGTGATGAATGTATGTAAACATCTGGCTGTAACTTTCTGAAAACAAATGTCACTGATTGGAGTTTTATTGAATTTAAAGGACTGTTTCCTTTTCTAGTTTTACACCAGGAAATAACCAGTTCTGTATGACTTTAACAGTTTATCCTTGTGAACATAATAATGTATATACCAAACCAAAACATTTGCAGATTCAGGTAACTCATGGCAAACATTTATATAGCAGTGATGGTACTGAGAGACATTTTTTTATTTTTTATGAGTGGCCTTTTTTCCTCTACTTTTTTACTTAAATGTGAACACTGTTGTGTTTTTCTTGCTGTCACAGATCAATACGCAATGTAAACATAAATTTTTGCTGATTACACGAATGAATGTGGACTTGTTGTTGAGACAGACGCTCAAGATCAATATACTGAAATTCTGATTGCGAAACAAAAAAGTGCAATGTTCCATCTGTTCAGGACACAAAAAATGCATAAACTTTCCATTTGTTTTGATGTTTTTTTTCTGCTCACACCACGTTGCCATCACATTGAAACCAAAGACTAATTAGCATGAGAGTGGAAACCATTTTCCCTCACAGCCTCCACACCTCGCAACTCAGCTGCCATTAGTGGTAGCTTTGATAAAGTACTGTTACGATAGTCAGAAGCTATTTTCTGTTATTAAAAACTGTGGACAAAATATTCTTAGAAAACAGCAAAAATTGTAAAACATGCTAAACGGTATGTTCTCCTTGGTAATAAATCCTTAAATTTTTAATGATTCTAAAGGCATGTAAAAATGTCCAAATACATATTCTAAAACATTACAAAGGCAAAATTAACAATAACTACAAAAAACGGTAACATTTTTAGTTTAGGCTGATACTAGAAGCTTCCTGGATAAATGCAAAAGTATAATTTTAATCTTTTTGTATCCAATGCTAACCAACTTTCTGATTTCAAGTAAGTTAACATTGAGATATTTTCTATTAAAAGAATTTTAAAAATAGAAAAAGACAAGACTAGCAGTAATTATGGAAGCTAACTAACAGAGCTTTTTGTTTAGGTTAATGCTAGACAAAATTGGCTACAACTATAGATTTTAGCTTAGGCTTTTGCTAGTAATTCTTAAATTAATCTCAGAAAATTCATCAAAACCCCTACCAAAATGATACAATAATGTCAAAATAATGTTATTTTGACTTACAAAACTATTTATTTTCCTAAATTAATATAATGCTGTTTTAAGAAAGTTGTTTTTTGATTGAAAACTGTATTGGCCACATTTAAATGCCACAATTAAAATGGCTTAATTTTGCAGAACACATGATATTGTTTACCCAAACAACTATTGGTGTATTTGGAATTTTAACAATTGCGAATTTGGCAAGTTTTTCTGAGTAAAACATTTTACTTATTGTTTTTTGATATTCAGGCTCAAAAATGCTTTGAATACATTCATACAAACAAAACTGGTTACTGCTATTTACAAATATTTTTGTGCCGCTATCTTCAACAAGTCATTGATGCAATCTGCTTGGAAGTCATCGTGACCCATGTCTAATTTGATGCTTTCAACTGTAGCATGTCATTCCCACATGCCAACAAAGTGTATAAGGAAATTTGCCCGTTATTTTCTATTAAACAACCCACATTGGCACTTGCCAGCAGCCAATGCTCCAAGAAGACCATCTCCTTTTCTTTTCAAACCTCTTCTGCTTAGAAGCTTTGCAGCTTCTTATGAAACTACCTGCAACTGAAGGTGTGCAATCTATTCTTACACTGCATATTATATTATCATATTATACTGCATAAAATGTGTGTTAAATCCACCAAAGGGCATCCTTCAAATGTGTTCAGACTCTCAAAGTGAGTTAGACTTGAGACAAATAAAAAAATAGCATCAGTGCAACTGTAAACACTGTTTAATAACAGTTTTTAAATTGTGTTGCCTCCACTAACATATCAATTTACCTTAAGTCTTGTAAAAACAAACTAAATGACAGAATAACATTGCTCTTAATCCTGCAGCATGGAGTAGACCCCAGTTCATAATGATCAGAACTTGCAACAGGACAGAATCTTTTTTTGGAGTTACTTCTGCCTTCTTTAAAGCCTCCACATTCAGCCAGGAGGACTGACATTTCTGTGAAAATAAAGAAACTGTACCCCATAGGAAGTTCAAAAACATTCATTCATGTTTTCAACTGTCAATTCATAAAATGCATTTACAGAAGTCACTATTCTCAAGAGAAAGAGCAACGAAGGGAGCAAGCTTAGCATCAAAGCTAACAGTTTCTTTCTTTTTCTGTCTTTTTTACAATCAAAGTCATGCATAGAAATTCTGTATGAGCACCAAAACTGGAAAATGGTGACTGTTTAAACTTGTGCACATGGTAATATGATATTGATCACTAAGGAAAGCCCACCACCCATAATGCACAATAATGTTAACGTAAAGGAGAACACTGGAGGTTTAGATAAGTGTAGCAGGTTCTCCATGCCTTCAGGTGTGTTTTAGTACTGTTACAAGAGTTCCTCTGGAGAAACAGCTCCATACAAGTGCTTGCACGTTCCTGTTTTACGCTTTTCCCTGAAATTACAAGTGTTTTATAGGAACAGTCAAAAGGGAGTTGGAGAGAGTGATTGAGACGGTGTGTGTAAACAGACTTTTACAGAGACTACAACACTTGATCTTGCAGAAACTGAGGCTTGTTTGGTTTCTTATTACTGGACTTGATAAATGGCTTTCACTTCCATCGTTATCAACATTATGTCTGACACATGAACTGAGTGGAGTTCAGATATGAGATATGATACTGATGCTGTGTGTTACTGCTTCATGTGTTGGATCAAATGTTGACATATGACAAATATTCCCAAAAAGAAAAGTTTATATATTTTTTCGGTGTTCCTGTTTCTTTTCATTATGAAAATACATAGTACACAAAATCACTCAGTATCAGCTGTCTGTAATTTCTGTAACTACTGTTGTTTTGATTACATTTGAAATAAACAAAGTTGCTAAAAAAAAAAAAAACTGTGTTTTTGCAGTGTGTCAGTCTGAACAATGCTGTAGACAAGATGGAGTCATCCTGAGTCAAATACTCTCATCAAATGTCATCTCTGTGAGCTGGTGTTTTAGCCCCATCTAGTGGTTAAATGACAAAATGCCCATGGTATTTAGGCTTAAAACCATTTTTTCTTTTTACAACAAAACACACAGTCATGTTTAAACTATTTTTTCTGGATGTAAAGACAATAATGTAGATTTCAAGATTACCACCAATATGAACATAGGAACAGGAATAAAAAAAACAAACCTTAGTCTGCACTTCTAATTAAAACTTGGATTGCTTTTGAATTGTATTTTTTTAACTTTGAGGCTTGAATGATCAATGCCGCACCATTTAAATTCTGCATGAAGGAAAAACTGGACCGTGCAATATATTTAAAAGTATCAATAATCCTTTTATTTATAAACTTCAATACAAAACTTTTATGGATTTAAAATCAACTCTGCTAAGGAAGCCATTATTTATCATTCTAAAGTAATTATCTGTCATGAAGTACAACATTCATTTGGACCTGGTGGTATGTTATTGCTTCTTGCCAAGATATTTTTACATTGCTTGATAAATTAGAAAATCACAAAGAACATATTTCCTTTTTTTTTTCTTTTTTTTGTAAATTCAAGGAATAAGTTCGAGATTTGCAGCAGCTTAGAGACCAGAAACTGAAGGTCAGCAGCTTTTTTAAAGACAAAGCCATTTTAAAGTAGTCTAAACAGTGTTGGTTGATAAAAGGCTTTCAAGTACACAAACAGGCCCTGGAAACTACAGGAAAATAACTATTGCCTTCTTAGTCGATGTCTGAGAAATAACCAGATTTTGCATGCTGATCTAGAAAAAGGATGAAAATAACAAATGTGGTCTTCATGAAATGCACCAACATAGAAATAAGCTCCATTAGGTGCCTCAAAACCATTTACAACCACCTGTTGCGTTTTTGGCTACTGTTACTGTTCAGATAACGTCAGCTCCCAGCGCCCCAAATAACATCAGGAACGACTCCTCACGTTTCTGTTTCCCATCTCAAGTGTATGTCCACAAATTTGCTTGTCAATGGCCCAAACAAGTGCTGAGCTCAGTTTCTTTGTAAAAGGCAGCTAACAGACGCAAACCAGCTGCTCCCAGAAACGGACCAACAGGACACAGAAACTTGCTGCAATAAACTGCTTGTAAAACAAAAACACTGTTAGGTCACCATCTGGCAGATTCCTATATGTGGGGGAAAAAAGGATTCCAGATTTCAGCCTGACTTCCCAAGGGCAACAATTGGCATTTAACCACAGATGGAGGAGAAAGATGTTGTTCTTTAAGATGCCATTTAAAGCAGTCTGAATGGAATCAGTGCCACAGGAAGTAAGCCTGAGATAGACTGCAGAACTGAAGTCAGCTGTATGTCAACCTTCCAGTTTTCTACACATAAATGTTTAGAGTTCTCAAACCTTTTTTTAAGTATAATTGCAGCAGTTTTCCACGTTTACTGCAAATATTTCTACAGAAGTCTAACTCTAAGTGTAAGCTCTGCACAAATCACTGAGTGTGGAGTGAGTGGATGGATTGTTGGATTGAAAGGATGAAACATGAACTTAGAATAAACAGTTTTTGCTTGAGAATAACAAGAGAAACAGACACGACACCCACGAATGCCTTAAAATCATTTATTGTTTCAGAAAGTAAAAGATAATTCATTTACAATAGAAAAAAGAGAACATGCACAAAGTAACCAGAAATGTTAACATAATAACAAGACAATTGGGATTTCAGAAAGGTTAAAAAAAAATGTACAAGTCGGTCACACTTTCCCCCAAAAAACTACCGCCTCTCTCATAATTTACTATAAACATCTGTTTAAAGTAAACACAAGCAGTGCTTTAGGGCAACACTTTGCAGGGAAAAGTCAATAACTGCATTAGTGCTTTACAGTACACAGACAAGTGGAAGAAACATTGCAGCAAAACTAAACTATTCACAATTTGGTCACATAAGAAGGGAATTTTCTGAAAAAAAAATCGACCTGCTCATCAACGGTGAATAATGGTGACAGTTTAGTAGTGCAATCCTGTTGTCAGTGTCGGCCATTTTAAGGAGTGCTCAGTTTGAAGATAATGACGGCCGCTTTCTGTGTGTAACAGCCTGTACTTCTTTGTTTAATAGTAAAACACCAACTCCCTCTACTCAAAATATACACTAATTAATCCAAATAAAATACCAGGATAAAAAAATAATTATCTTTGGACAACGCATTTGCTAAAAAGACCTAAAGAATATACCTCAGTATTACTTTAAATATGATATATTCATACATTTTTCTACAGTCAGTAACAGTTCTTTTACAGTTATGCCTTTTTCTATGTGTCTCTGTCAGAAGTCGATTCCATCAGCATGCAGGGGGTCATTAATCTAGAACCAAACAGAGAAAAAGAGTTAAACTTCACTTAACTTGATATCTATATGCTTTCTTATAAAACGCTGTCATTATATTAGCTTTGTACAGAAAATCCACAATAAAGTTAAACCACATTATTGCTTTTTTTTATTTTTTTTATCTGTTCTCCCCAAGATAAAACAAAAATGGATAACTGTAATTTTCATCCAAACTGGCATTTGGCTGCTACGTTGAGCTTTAAATTCAGGTCCAAAAAGAAAGTTGATTTACTCTGTAATTACATTGTTAATTAAATACATATATTTTAAGTGTTAAAAACTGTAACATAATGAATTGTTTTTTGTTCATTTTGACCTGGAATCTTTGCATTGTGTTTCTGGTACATCAGAAGCACAAGTGGCAACAACAATGATAAATGACAAAAGCCGCTTCTCTTGGCCCACTGGGGGCTAATTTTTTAAAAAGCCATCCAGTATGGTGCTGGAAAAGACTATTGTTGTTTGCAAGTTGTGCAAAAAGAAAGTTATTCAAGCCTACATTGAGACGGGACAGCAGCACCATCTAAATGAAACGCAGCAGCACAGATCTTCAGCTTCCATAGTTCACATATCTAAAGAAGTCTTTTTTTCAAAGTTCTAGGAATGATCAGGTCTTACCGAAATGTGATGGCTGAATGACCAAAATCACAAATTAAAAACAAAGGGTCTTTTTAGATAAAAAATATTTCTTATTATGCCTACATACGGTTTTTGATTATAATGCGATTAATTACAAATTAATTGAATTAGATTCTTTACTGGAGTCCCAACACTATTTTTTACCCAAATATGATACTCTGACTGTACAAGAACCTGGGGAAATGTGAGTTAACAGCAGAGAAAAGGTGAACTCTGTATAGAGAAGCTGATTGTGGCATGAAAGTCGTGTTTAACGTGATCCACTCCTAAAGAGAGAGAGCCGTGACTCATCAGTTTTCCACACCCTCTTTTGGTCACATGATGATTTTAAGCAAAACTGTAAAACTAGATAGCTATAAAAAAAGAAAAGGAAAAAAAAAATCTGAGTGGAAAGCTGGAGGACTTTTAGTTTTCTGTGGATCCATTTGTTGTACAAACAAGCAGTTGGGAGTTCTACCATAAAATCAAAATGATTAAATCTAACATCTTAGCCTGTATTACAAATTGATTGTGTGTAACCTAATGAAATAATGTGAAATCACTACTCACTGCAGGTCTGCTCTGCCTCCGAGGCCTTCGAGAGGTTCAGTCCAGAGTTCTGTTTGGGTCGGGCTCCCAGCTCCTGCGCCAGCCTGGCTGGATTCTGGTTCACATCCAAAGGTTTCTCTTTCACCTCTGAACTGTAGTGGCCCCTTTCCTCTACCACCATCTTCTCAACCTTCTTCATTAACTTTACCACTTGGGGATTCTCCCCGAAGATGTTGTTGTTAATAAGTATGAACCTCTTCTTACACTTCCTCAACACCCACTGCAGATCTTTGCCCTCCCTGTGAATGTATCTCTCCAGGGTGATCTTCTTCAACACCTCCGCCCAGGTGAACACCACGATTGTGTGATTCCACACATGCTCCCCAAAGAGGCTGACATTCTCTTCGATGCGTGCACGGTCGACATCCGTGAACATGCCCACGGGGATGATAAGCAGGAAGGCGTGAGGACCCGGAGGGCAAAGAGAGGCCCCCCTGACCAGCTCCTGTTTGTAGGAGGGTGGGGTGTCCTGCGCAGAGAACCAGCCGGGAGTGTCCACCACTACCACCTGGCGGCCATCTATCTCCGTCTCCCTGGTGACGCAGAACTCGGCCGCTCGTTCCAGGTGGAACTCCTCTCTGCCTAGGATGGTGTTGGCTGTCAGGCTCTTCCCCGGCCACCTCCATCCTAACACCACCAGGCGGATTTCAGGCAGAAATGCCGTGTCCTGAGCTGGAGCTGCTGTCTCTTGGGTCTCTTTCTCTGACCCAGAAGAATCTTTGGCTGCAATCGGAGAGGTTACACAAGTTAGTGTGAGCGGGCATTATCTAATAACCAACAAAGAACTTTAATAAGTAGTCATATTTAAACAATTGGTTTCTAATTCATTCAAACATGTGCACTGTACCATTATATCGAGGAAAGAATAAATATGAAACTAGAATTATCACTAGCATTATCACTGTTAAGGAAGGTAGGTGTAAAAAAAATCTTATGTCATGTAAAAACATTTAGCATTTACACAAAATTCTAAAACAAAAATATAAAATATCAGTGAAAATATATGATCATGATTTTAAAAATAATGTATTCCTACTGCTTGTCATAATATTAAAGTAGTTATATTACTTTAAATAAATTTCTATATAAATGTAAAAATAAATGTCTTCAAAATTTCATAATAAATTTAGAAATAAATTCAGTCTTTCTAAATTTCTTTAGAATAACTACATTTATTTCTAAACTTAATGGATGGAATTTGTTCTGTTTAACTCTGACAATAAATACGAAAATAGGTTTATTTTTTTAATTTATGTTTTATTATGAATATTTAGAGCCAAATCTAATCGAAAAAGAAAGCCTTGCCTTTGCTTTTCCACGCTTTTCAAGACTTCAGAGGAACTCTGTAGTCACAATGCTGGTGTTTATGCTGGTAATACGTTTATAAAAGGTCACAACAAACTATTCTGTAAACAAATATGAGAAAACCGAACAAATAACACCCAGAGACCAACATGCATCATCAGTCAGGATACTCTGTTTTGAGACTTTATTTAAGGGCATTTTTCACAATAGGGAAACTCCCATTAGCTTCAAGGCTACTCCTATTTCCTGCCCACTAAAAGTAAGATTCCCTAAAGACAATTTCCTGATAATATATATGAAACCTCTTTTACTTCAGAATATGTTTTAATCCATGAAGACTTGCTGTACACCCCTTAGTGATTTGTTTTACAAAGTTGTATTACCAAGAAAGAACTTAATACAATAAAGGTCAGCTATACGAAAAGCTATATAAATATCCAAATATAAAATGATTCAATATATTGTGTAAAATCTTCGATAAATTCCATATATTTTGGTATCGAAATGTGAACTTGATGTTTAAATGTTTGCCTGAAGGGCCACTTTATAAGGTCAAAGAAGAAGTTAATTATTCATGAACACAAGCTCAGCAGCGTTATGTAGTTCCAAGGTTGAAATATAAACCCGAAACAAAGTATACTATGTCCATAACAACAGAAAATAGGAACACGTATCCAAGTTCAGTTTTTTTTTCTTTAGTTTAAAACTGTCTGCTAACTTTCATGCTAATTTTGACAACCGGTGACGATAAATAATTATTTTAAAAGTTCATAAATTAACCGGATGGAGGCCGCTTTGCCTCACCTGCTGTCTCTTTCGGGATATTGTCGGCCATCGTCCGTTTTATCCCGGGATAAAGTCTTCTTTGAGGGGGTCAATTCACTTCGGGCGCCTTGATCTTCGAAGAACTTCCTCCTGATGATGACACAAGTTACCGGAAAAAGCGTAACGTCAGCGCTACTACTTCCGGTCAATCCTTTCAGAGTGAAAGCAGAACAAGCGGAGACCGGAAGTAAAAAACTAAAATTCCTTAAACGTGGATGATATTTTTTATTTAGCATTCAAATAAAAATAAAAATAAAAAAATCAAAACAACATACATTTAAAATGATTTAGTATTCTGACAAATAAACATCTTGCGGCCTGGATTTGAGGACTTCTGCGTTCAGCCAGGCTTCTTCCACTCCATCATGATATGCAGAAATACTAAAAGTAATTTCTCATAAAGTAACTTGACACAATGTGTAGGAGACAGTTTTATTGTTAGACAGAGTTTATAATGTTATTTACAACATTTAGGCTAAACCCGCATTTATTTACAACTTCAGAAGAATCAGATCTGCCCTGTGGATTACCAGCATTTAGTATATCCTTGTTAGACAAAAAGACATGAGTGCAACATACTCTTGACAAAAGAACATAAACCTAAACTATTGTTGTATTCCTTTGCTTTTAGATCATTAATCAAAAAGCCATTAATGGTAAAATCATTCTCAATTTCCCTAAAAACCTTCAATAATCTTGAATAAATGAAAAGTAAATACAAAAAGTTGGCATAAGTATTGAATGATGCTTTCTCTTCGTTAAACTCATGTTCCCCATGATGCCAGCATACGCATGTCATCGTCTTCTTCAACTCTTTTCTTAGTTGCTAGAAAAAAAAAAGCAAAAACAGATGAACACTTATCTTGAATGATTAGACCCAGGTCATTCTACTTGTATTTTCTATAATGAGCTGAGATTATTATTAATTACCTTCAATGTATAAGGCAGATAAGAATACAAACATCTAGACATTCTTAGATAACCTTAACTTTTTATATCTTGTAATTCAATTGTTTAGGTCATTGTAACCAAATGGCTCATCGACCTGCTGCACAATATTTTACTTTGTATGAAGTTCTATTAAGTTATAAGTACATACTGTGACTTATAACTTAAGTAACACTAATAAGTACATACTGTGACTTATAACTTAAGTAACACTAATTCCTAATGTAAATACAGTGCCTTGCCCCCAACATTTTATGAAATTACAACAGATTCACTCTAGCATGTGTGATAGACCAACATAAATTGGTGCAGTGTTAGGAAGCTGAAGGAAAATTGTATTGCACATGGTCTTTACTCCTTAGTATTTGACTTTAAGTAGCAAAAGATTTGAAAATTATGCATCATTTACTTTCTACCTCACAAGTTTCCTATACTTTTTTTTGGCATATACTATTAAAACACATGATCAAAGGGTAAGATACTTTTGCAGGGCACTGTAAATACAAACATACTCATGTAAGCTTGTGTGATGGACTCACTTGCATGACTGGGGCGTGATGAGGGCAGTTTGGAGCTGGGAACGCTCGGCAGTCCTCCCATACTCTTCATGCTCTCCTCCAGATCCTCCTGCTCCAGCTCCTCCAGCTCTGCAAGGAGCTCATCCTAACAAAAAGCATAAAGCAAGAACTAGCTAAAAGGTCTGCAACATGAGTAAAAAAAAAAAAAAAAAACAAGCAAGAAAGACCCATCTCAAGAAAACTGAAAAACCTCATCAAACTGCTCGCCGAACGGCCCGGAAATTGCCTCGCTGATTTCCCGAGCCACATCTTGCTGCTCTGTGATGTCCTGCATCAGATCATCAATCTTGTCGACGTCCCTGAGAAAAATAAAATACCACCGATGCAAGTTCAAATTCTAATCTGGTGTCCAATATTTATTATCTGAATGCTGTAATAGGAAAAATAATTTCTTTATGCATCAATCAGGTAATGCACCCACCCAAAACACACAGGTTTAAAATAGTTTGTACCCAGTTTCTTACATGTTCTGGTGGACCTGCTTCATGGCCTTGGCAGCAAAGCCCATGTTCTTGAGGACCTCCGTGTTGGTGTGCGAGTTCTCCAGGGCCTCCCTCTGAAACTCAATTGTGGACAGCGTGCCATCAATCTGGGTCAGTTGCTGCTCCAAGCGCTTCTTCTTCTTGAGCGCCTGTAGCGCAGCTATTGCGGGGAAAACAAACCATGTAAACAAAAAGAAAGAGAAAAAAAATCACATTAATTCTTAAAGATCAGTTCATCTCTGCATGTACCTGTTACTAGAATAAAAGTAAACCAAGGTTTTAAACAGTTATGAATTGAAAAGCACAATGCTTTTCTGTCATACTCCGCTCACAATTTTGTAGCCATTGATGACATAAACCAAACGTTATCATTGATTATCCTACTCATTCAATGCTAAATCATCTTATTGATATTTTAGCAATAAGAAAAAAAAACAGGCTAAACTGGCACCTTGACAGAATTCCAAAAAGAAAACCACTCCCTGAACTAAAAACAACACACAGGTCCATCTAACTTTTTCCAACAAAAATTATGACTTTTAGGAAAATGTTATCTGGACAAACAAGACAAACTGTGATCTTTTGGAAGACATCCATCCTGCCACCATATCAATAGTCAACCCTTGTGGTGGTAGTGTGATGATCTGGGCTCTGGACAAATTACTGTAAATGACAGAATCATGAAAGACAACATCCAGCTAGATGTTCGTGACTACACTAAATGGGTTATGCAACTGGAAAAAATAATCTAATCTACAAATACCAGCAAATAACAACGTTCAAATAAAGGACTCTTTCTGAGTTGTCTAGTCACAGATGAGTAACTTTTAACTTTGACCAAGAAAGCAAAAAAGAAATATGTATGGAAGAAAATATGTTTTGCACAGGCAATGAGTGAAGGGGAGTCTCTGATTAGACAAGCTAATCAGAGTTGCCAGAGAAAGTTACCTGAGGGAAAAGAAATGTTTGTATCTGAAATGGACTCAGTTCAAGGTCAATGTATTTAAATACCTGACATTCTGCTGAATAATGAATGAAAGCAGTTTCTCATTCAAATGTAGACAAAATAAACATCCACAACTAGATATTACAATAAAATAATTCCATTTTATTGTGTTTCAAATGGAATTACGTCTTTGTCTTTGATCAGCCCCTGATTTATGAAAGTTCAATATTAGATAGCTTGATATTTACAGCAGGTCAGAATTTGGAGAAATACATTTTGTTTGCAGCCAGGGTTTATTTAGTTTAATTAACAAACTTAGCTGTTAACTAAAGTGGGCAGGAGAGCAGAGAATCTTCTGAGTCTTTGGTTCATGCTACACATTTTATCGGTGTGGCGGAGAGACCTCAATTTTCTACAAGTTTATGGAGCACAGTTTCCTGCACACTGTCAGACAGCAGGCTTAAAGGAGGCTCCTACTCTTTCCATTCACTTACAGAAGATGAATCCATTTCAGAATATGTCAGGTGATTATTTGTGATAAACCCTGGCAGTCACATTTATCCTTTTCTATCATCGGTCAGAAAAGCGTTGGGTGTGTCCAAAGAATGTAAAGGTATTCCTTCCTTTACATTATTGCATTCATTTTTAATCTTTGGTGATTCACAGATAATGAAGCGAAGAAAACATTTTGCGTTGGGTAGAGCTCCACAGGAAAGTGAAATTATTGTGAATTGCTTCTCTAATATAATCCATTCCTACATTTTTTGATCATTTGCATTTTGTTGTGCAGATAAGAATAGCAGGAAATGCTATGAAGGCCATGTTTTCAGCAATCCAATACTGCATTCCATCTGCTTCCACCTGCACAGGGATGTAATCAAAACAATGGATACCTTCAGGCTAAACTTGTTACAAATTAATGTTTGAACTATTCTGTGTTGATTGAATTGTGAAAAATACTGATTTTGATCATAAAATTCAAGTTTAGAAGTTTAAACTCAAGCTAAGAGGAGGAGAAATGGAGGAATAAACTTCTGGTTGGGTTTTTAATGTAGTTTCTAAAACCAGATACAGGAAAAGAACAATATCTGAGACAAGTTGGACAGAAATGTTCACATTCACGTTTGTCATTTTGTTTGAATGATAGCAGCTCACTTAAAGGAACATATAGCTATCCATGTCTGTTTACATGACTTCAACTAAAAATGTGATTGTGATTTAAGAGGAAGTTATTCAAGACAACTCTTTATGAAGCTTTTATTATGTGGATAGTTTAAGCTCTAATATACTATAAAATCTTGACTTAAATGCAGAAAAAGCAGATGTTATGCTTCCTAGAAAACCCATAATGAAGACCTACCCTTCTTGTTTTTGGTGCCGTGCTTCTTGGCTGTAGCTATTTCTTGCTCTATCCTCTTCTCCAGGTATTCCTGCTTCTTCGTCAGCATTTCCTCGGTTTCCCGGAGTCTGTGGATGGCCTCCTGCGGACTCGGTCCTCCCTTCGATCGGTGGTGTTTGGACTTTGAGGAAGAGCTGGATGATGAACCCGAGCTGGAGCTGCCTTTGAAAAGCTTCGAGATTTTACTCATTTTCAGGCTTCTTCTTCTTCTCTTCTTTTATTTCTTCTTTTTTTTTTTTTTTTTTATTGTAAACTGCGTTGATAGTCCAAAACAATTAGACGCGAACTCGACGGAGTCCGAGAAAGTGACGGCCTTCTAGTTTCACTTGACTCCCCAGGCGGGTGTTGTATTGCAGGTTTTCCTGTTCGACGGCTTCGTGAGGTCAGCTCAAACCAGCCAGTGAGAGCACCGCGGGACACACCTGTCAGCGTTACTTACACCTGTAACGTCATGACGCATGTCTCTGCCATGTCTGAACTTCAAGACACTGAATAAAACAAACAAACAAAAAATTATAAGTATGTTTTAAAAGTCTTTCACTTTTCACATAGTTTATAAAATAAATACTAATCATTAATTATATTTTGTTTAGGTCAATTCATACAACCATGAGTTTGAGCAATAATAACAAGAGTTATTACAAGAGTAATAATGATAACAACAAGCTATTAAAGCATCTTCATAATGAACACGTTTAAATGGACTGTTAAAGAAACATAAAACTATCAAAGCATTCTAAATTTTATTTTTATTTTCTTGCAGCAAACACATCCATGAGCACCAATAAAAGTTGCGGTCAGATGAGAAAAGTTTATCTTGGGCTGCTATAGTAAAACTGCAGACCATAACAGTTTCAGGAGTTATAATTTTGAATTTTTGTTTATAAGGTGACAAATACACCATCATAGGAAGAAAAGAAAATCTCATACCAGTTACAAAGCAAGGAAATGAAACTACGCACTCAAACCCTTCAACACAAACAGTATTTGAAGAACACAAGGGCTGAATGAGGGTGCCAGTATTGGGACAGGGCCTAAATAATACATTTGACCTTTCTTGCTGAGTGTCTTCTGGAGGTGTCCCTCTGTCACTAATGAGAGAAGTCACTGGGAACACAATGTTTATGGAATCAGAAAGTTTTTTTTTTCTGTAAAATGTCACCAATTTTGATTGAAATACATGATTTGTTTTTCACACAATATATTTTAATTTAATTTCAGATAAATAGTTTCGTTTTGCAAATCCATAAACAAAACAAAAGCTTTAAACTTTCATTTTTTTTTATGTCTGGAAAGACATTTAAAGTGTGAACCAAACATAAACCGGAGGTGCGCTTTTGTTTTGAAAGGAAACTGTAAAGTAGGTCGCCGTAACGCCTCGTGCCTTCGCGCACGTCAAAATCGAGTGGCTGGTTTTACTGCCATTTCCGAAGAGGCTTGTAGCTTTACCGCAGTCAATAGTGCTAGCTAATGGCTGAATTAGACATTGGTAAACACTGTCAGGTCGATTCCTGCAACCTGAAAGGTTGGTTGTGATTTCACCAGAACGGTTAGAAATAAAAAAAATATTGAATTATTGGTTGTTTTTTTTCTCTTAGCATACTTAGCCTGTTAGTTAGCAGTGGTCTTCACTAGCAGAAAAGCTAGCGGCTAATTAGCTTAGCAGCTGCTGGAAGAGACGCCACCTTAAAACTTAACAAAATGTTTGCATTTTTAATTAAATGATTAATTAAAATAAAATGTAATTTAATCGGTTTCTTTACTGCTCGTAGAGACCATTCCTTGCAATATGTGTAATGAGCTAAATCATCCAAATTTGGTTTGGTTTGTTTTCTACACTTTTACAGATTTTCTTCCATTTGTGTGCGACTCTTGCAGTGGTGTTTACTGGTAAGCTTTTCATTTCCCCGTCCATTTTACTTGTAGATTTATTACTTTAAATGTCAAACAAATGTCTGATCATCTTATATAAACTTGATGTGGGTTTTCTGGAGACTCAACCAGCTGGATTCAACCATTTTTGACAGTTGGAGTGTTATAGAAAGAGTTTTGAACAGTTGTAGTTTCTTATAATAAGCATCTAAGGGGCAAGTAGTTTCTGTAATTAGGAAGATATTTGTTCAGATTTTAGATGGAAATAAAGTCTTAAGTTGGAAATGGAAGAAAAAGACTTAACTGTGCAGTAAAGTTGGTGGTGTTTTTTTTTCTCTTTCACATCTGTCCTGCACAGTCTCGAGCACAGAAGCAGAGAAGCCCACTCATGTCCAGAGGCAAGTCATGATTTTATTTTTACAGTTTTTAGCTCTCCTGCAACCTTCGACCTGATAAGTGCTTCTTTGTTGAGCTTATAGTTCTTTCTTGCTGTCATAAGTGGTTTCCTTTGCTAAGATTAGGACTACTTTATGAGAGTTACCTATGCTGTAAATCTATTACAAGCAATGACTGTTTTCCTCATGATGTTCTTTTACTCTTTGCTTTAGGAAACTGTAACAAGGGAAACAAAGGCTGCTGGCAGCACGAGTTATCCCTGCTCGTTTGAAGACTGTAAGGGAAAAGAGTTGCTGCCAGTTTTATGTCCGCAGTGTGAAAAACACTTCTGTTTGACGTAGGTTTTTTTTTTTTTTTTTTTGTCAACTTCAAAAAGTGAGGGGAAGCGTTCCTTCTGTGTTCTATTTTTGCATCACTTACTGTTCTGTTTCATTTTTTTGCAGCCACCGTCATCAAGATGATCACAAGTGTGAGAAGTTGGAGGTCCAGAAGCCTCGAATGGCAGCCACAAAAGAGCTCGTGCAGAAGATTTTAGGTCAGAAAAACAGGCAAAGGCAGTGTTTATTTTCTTAATCTCTCCTTTGTATGGATTCAGATGGCAATTCTTTTCTTATCATACTCTACAAGAATTTATACCCTTCAATCTCTTTTGAATTTAGATTTTTATTGATGTCCTTGTCTGGTCTGTAAGCTTAGGTGAATTGTCAACAATTGTATTTATATTACTAATGCATTACACATATTTGATCTCTATATGTTTGGTAAATAAATAACTCAAGAAATAATTTATTTACTTACTAGGTGAATTTTAGTTGCACTAGATTGTATTAAGGAATGTCAGAGTAAAAAGTCCGGAGGTGCTGTAATGGCTTTTGAGGTTTGTGTGTTTTTTTTTTTTTTTTTTTTATAATCAATCATACTCATGAATGTGACAAAAATATAAAAAAAACAATTATAAGATATGAATACTTCTGCAGGACTGTAGATCCAGAAATGTAACCACTTGGTGGCTTTAATAACTGAGTTTTCTATCATTTCTGTGTCTTTCTGTTCAGAGTCAAAGGATGGATCCAAAAGCAAAGGGCGCAGAGGAGCAAAGAATGCTGCCACCGCTGCAAAGGTTGCCCTTATGAAACTGAAGCTGCATGCTGCAGGAGACAAGGGACTTCCACAGGTAAAATCAGCTTCACATCCCACCATAACTGTGACTTAATTTGTTTGATTTCAGTATTTTCGAAAACATATTTTCCTTTTTTATCCTCTTCCATTGTCTAAAGCATCCCTCCTTCCTTTACTTGACTATTTTTATGTTAATATAAATTTAAAAGAGTGAGTACTTCAAGTAAAATGTCGCAAAACCTGGAATTTTGATTTAGAAAAATTGCAAGAACACTGATATTACACTATGTAAGCCTTCTTCTCATTATGTATGCTTTCCAGACAGAAAGAACCTATTTTCAGGTTTATCTTCCAAAAGAATCCAGAGAGTGCAGCCGGCCCATGTTTTTCTCTTTAAAATGGAGTGTGGGTAAAGTGGTGGATTACGCAGCCTCTTTAGCCACCCTCAAGAACAACAACAATGTTCTGACAGCCAAGGTAAACAGAGAAAGACAAGAAATATATTTGGACACTTTAATGTTTACAATAAATGACTGAGTATCTGAAGCTACAGCGTCAAATAATGCTGGAATGTAAAATTGTGGGCATAATCGTAGACATGGAAATCATGATTATTTACCATAACATGTGTAGATCACTTTGAAAATATTGTCCATTGTAATGTTTTTGTGGTTGTGTAGAGCCAAAATAAAAATCTAGTGGAAATCACATTTATTTCACAGGACTATTGGAGTGACCTTGCAATTTTTTGATACATGTGACCCCTAACAACAAACTAAAGTTATTGGCCTGAGTTTGTTATTAGGGGTCATATGTATCAATGTCAACCCACGTCTCCATTTGCAGAAGCTGCGTCTCTGTCATCCTGAGACAGGCCAGGCTCTCCAGATGGATGACTCCCTGCTCTCTCTTCTGGCTCACCCAGAAGCTCCACTGCATAACGGGGGAAATGTGATCCTGGAATACGTGGACAACGAATGCACAGGACTAAAGGATGTTTCTGACTATATCGCACAAACCTGACTTAGGAGTATCATAGAGTATCACAAATGTATTATATGTGCGAATTATTATTTATGTGAATTAAAAAATGTTTTTCTATTTGTGGAATTTTTTTATATTGGTGATTTGTGAGAAAAGTTCATTTAAGATGCAGCAAGATTAGATCTATGTAGTAATAGCCTTAGATTGGATTTAAAGAAATACAATTTATCCCAATTAGAAACTTGCTAAATGTAGTACAAGGAGCTCATAAATATTTACTTGGGTGCAATGCTTCAATGCAATATGTATGTATGTAATTCAGACTTTTTGAGTAAGTACCTTCTACTTAAGCCAGTTTTCTGAAACTGGGTCAAGAATGACAACAGTAAACAGTCAGACAGAACAACAATAGAATAGTTAATATTAAAGCTGGAATAGTCTAGTCAAAGTCCAAACATAAACCCAGTTGATTTGAAACTTTATATTCATAGAAGCTCCGCTGAATCTGACGGAAGTGGGTAGTGTCAGGAACCACAAGATATTTCCTTTTTTGACATTAAACACTAAGCCACTGCCTCAGTTGTCTTAACCAATCGCATTTCACGCCACACATAGCGACAGGCAAAAGTAGCCAATCACAAAGGGGCATTAAAAGTGGGTGGGTCCTCAGCAAAACCTGTATATAAATGAAAAGGGGCTGGGTCAACACGTACAGTAGATCCCGTTGTTTTGGTGAGAACGGAGCGGTTGTTGAAGGTTATCGATAAATAGCAGAAACAGGATTCAGTTTTGATTTTTTTATCAATAGGCTCAGTAGCTTTTTTGCTGCTTTTCTGATCGAGTCGCCGAGAAAAGAGCGACTTGATCCCCCCGACACAGATCGTTTTGTAAAATCAGGTCGAAAGGGATGCCGCTGCAGATAGACTCCGACGGACGCCAACTGTCTCTGGATTTAATCTCGTCGCATTTAATCGGGAAGAGCAGCTTCTCTATAAACTTAAAGAGCCTCAGAACATCTCCCGCTCGACCGAGTGTTTCCGTAAGATACCAAAGCTCAAGTTCACGGTATTAGTTTCGCGTTGAGGCGAAGACCGAAGAATAAACATTCAAGCTAGCAGCTAGCGTTAGCTGGTAGAAAAAAAAAACAAAGCGCGGATCGTTAATCCTCGTGAACCGCTTTGACAAAAGAGGTCGAGTTACCAACGGTGCAGTCGACTGCTACGAGGTTGAACCTTTTTATCTCTGCCTGTGTGGAAGATAATTTGTTGGTAAGTGAATTAAAATTGATGTGTTGAACCAGGAAGACAGTGTGTGTGTGGGGGAGGGGCAGTGTTTTCTGTTAGAGGAAATAGTGTTTTGGTCTGTAATTTATCCAAGAGGGGCGCTGCTGCGCAGTTCTGTCTTCTCTTTCGAGTTTCTGTTTCTGTTCACTTTATCTGCACTATTTGCGAATAAAAGTGTACTTGTTCATTGACATAATGCATTTTTGTACTCCAGGCTGCCATGAAGCTGTTGGAAAACTCCAGCTTTGAAGCCCTCAGCTCCAGGCTGTGTGTGGAAACTGGGGAGTCCCGTATCCTCGGCAGGTAAGCCCCCTTCTGTTGTAATGCTTTTGCCCTTCAGTGTGGAAGTGGTGACTGAATATGAGTGATTATTTGTGTAAGAAGCAGTTTAAAGGGACATGTTATGTGATCAAACTTGTTGGGATTTTTATCATATTGCCAGAGAGCAAGACTTTCAGCAGATAACAGGAACGCTTAACAGAGTACAACTTACTTTCTGTTTTTTTTCCAATTGGACTTTAAATTTGTTATTGAAAATGCTAGATTTGGAACTGTTGGGAGTTTTTTTTGGAAAGACGAGTTATGTTGTGATCCTCCACTGTGCATTGGACACAAACATGGCCAGAGCCAAACTTTGCCTTAACCTTCAACCTTTTCCCAGTTTTTCCTCAAACATTTTCCATTCGACTCTGACTCTGTTTTCTGGATGCAGAGAGTAAAACCTCATGGTTGCACTTCTAACTTCTTAGCATAAAGCATTTGGAGGAAGCGGTGTGTATCGTACATTTCTCTTGCGCAGAAAAAAAAAGTTCTCCCTTTTTGACGTCATGGAACAGGACTGGCAGCACATACAGAGATCACTGACCCTGTGCTGAATTAGAGTAGTAGAGCTGCAGCAGCCGTTTACAGGTTACACAATTGAACTGAAGTGTTTTACGACTCTTCAGGCCTACTTTCAAAGCTTGCGTTGAAAGTTCACTGATGATGTTCTTGTTATTTGGTCTGCAGACTGTAAACCATATCAGTGTGCCTCAGGTTATGCAACCCTTTCCTCCCAGCTGGGCCTTGCAGATATAGCTAAAAGGAGTGTAATTACATAAACTCCAGTGGGCTGTGCAACTATGCAGTTTTGCTGTGTGGGCTGGTGAAACTGAGCAGTGTGGTGGCCGTGGCCTGGGTTGACACAGGTTATTTTGGAGACTGTTGTTAAGCTGGCATGAGTGTTAACATACTCGTTCCATGAGAGCTGAGTTCTGCTGGTGTTTCAGCCTGATTGGAGGAGTCTTTCAGCGTAGTGAAGAATGGATACAAGTTCAGACAAGCTGAAGTGATTTAAGTATTTGTTTATCTGTAAGGGATTTAGGTGGAAAGGTCTTCACAAGTTAGCAGGAAAAGTAGGTTGACGATCTCTTGCATCTGTAAATAAGTAGCTTTAACATTAATTGATGCACGAACCCCTTCATTACACATGCATGCTGCCTACTCCTATGTCTGAATGGCTGAGTTGTTGCTCACAGGATTCAAACAGAAGGTCAGCTGTGTTGTGTTGTGCTGGGAATACCAGTGCTGCTATTTCCACTCCGTGTTCCTTGGATGTTCCTATAATTAAAGCCGACAGAATCTGGGAGGACCTTCACACTCGCTCTATCCTTAGCTGTAGTACCTTGTGTAACCTCAGAGTGCACCAGAGGGAAATAAACAACTGCCGTCTGCTGCCCACTGATATCTGTCCCAGAGACATCTGACCCAGATATGTGAGCGCAGGAGACCTTTGACAGTGACTGGCGAGGCGTTTGTGTTTCTATGGCTTCCAGAGGATATCCAGAGCTTGATAAATAATCCACAGCATGCTTAATGAATTTGATGTGATTGTCGTTTATAACAGAACTGGAAGGAAAAAGTAAATGTGGCTTCCACAGGAACTCCCGGGTAACTGGTCAGAGTTGCAGAAAAGGTGGATTGTGCACAAAAGCAGGAAAAAAAGCAACCAGAGCTACAATAGAAGGGTTTACAATGAAGCATATTAATTTTAGAATGGCTTAGTCAAAGCCTAGACCTAAATCCATTTGAGGATCTATGGCAAAACTTAGATATTCTTCTATAATTGCAACCTAAATCATGTTTAGTTGGATGATAATGTTATGGCTTTCTACTTTGCCAAATGTTATGGTGCTATTATGTGTCAAATCATCGAATAAATAAAAACAAACATTACAATAACAATGTGTATTTCACATGTTTTCATTTGAAGTATTAATGATTTTTTTGTTTTTACTCCTGTTGTCCTGCAGGATTGAGAGTTACTCCTGCAAGATGGCAGGAGATGACAAACACATGTTCAAGCAGTTCTGCCAGGAGGGGGAGCCACATGTCCTGGAAGCCCTTTCTCCCCCTCAGTCCACCAGCGCCACCAGCCCCTCTCAGTAAGCACAGCAATCCAGTTCAGCAGAAATCAGAGAAAATAGCAGGGAGTATTTAAGGGATGCCGGCCATTGTGTTTGTTTGGTAGGCTGGGGAAGAGCAGCGAGGACGGTGAAAACCCTCTGAGCGACAAGGTCTGCAGGAAGACTCTGTTCTACCTCATCACCACGCTCAACGAGTCCTTCAGGCCGGACTACGACTTCAGCGCCGCCCGGGCCCACGAGTTCAGCCGAGAGCCCAGCCTCAACTGGGTGAGTTGCTTCTGCCGCCGTAGGAGGTGTGATTATGCTTAAAATATGATGGGATGTCGATAAGCTAGTTTTCTCCTCAGGTGGTGAACGCAGTGAACACCAGCTTGTTCTCATCAGTGGGAGAAGAGTTCAACTCTGTGGGACCCGAGCTGTGGAACGCCATCGACCAGGAGATCAACCTGCAGAGCTGTGACATCTACAGGTCAGCGTTGTGGTGGTTTACGACGCTTAACCGCATCATTCTGACAGAAGGAGTCACTTTTATTTCTCCCTGTTTCTCAGCTACAACCCAGATCTTGATTCTGATCCTTTTGGTGAAGAGGGGAGCCTCTGGTCCTTCAACTACTTCTTTTACAACAAAAAACTGAAGAGGATTGTGTTCTTCACATGTCGCTCCGTCAGGTCTGTGCCAGTAAGCATTACTTATTAAAGATGCCATCTACTAAAAGTTTAGTTGTTTTTTTTCTCCTTTTGAAGGGCACTCAAAAAAGATCAGAGTTTTCTTTCTGTGTATTTGTCATGTCAGAAAAAGCATGAGATTTGGCAGAATTAGGCAGAATTTTGAACAATGTGATGAGTGAATCAGAGATGAACATATTGGCCAATTTTCCTCTTATTGACTCAGATTAGTGTTTAGCAGGTTGAACAATAATTTTTTTTGCTGCATTAATTGCATACAAAGCCAAGAATTTCTATCATTTAACTGGAACAAAAATCGGACAGGTTTAAGCAACATTACACAGAGGATAAAATAGGATATTGTCTAAATTGACTGGATTAGTTTCCTTCTGCCTTGTTACCAGCACAAAGGACTAAAGCTTGTTTTGCTTGGGTTTAGGTTTTATCTTTATTTGTTCAGCAACAAATTGGCAAAAAAAAAACCAAAATCTTAAAAAAATTTAATACCTGAAGATAGACCTTCAGGTCAGATAAATCTTAAAGATTAAAAACCAATGTGATTATTTTCAGTGTTCTTAGTGGCTACGGCCGAGGTTGCCTCGACAACGAGCTGGACATGGAGCTGGAGGACGAAGAAGAGATGGACGGCTTCACCGAGGAAGGGTGAGATCAAGCACAGCTTAAGATGTTTTTTTGTTTGTTTGTTTGTTTTGTTCTTTCCCTCATTGTTTCTTTCCCAACTTACATTTTTGAATTTCTTCCTCAGGTTCCCCAGAGCTCTGTGTGTGTAGGTCCAAATCTGCAACCTCCAACGATCACCCGTACCGTTACTCCTGTTGTTCTTTGTCCTTTTTCGTCTAAAATCTATGGGAGTTTTGCTGCCTCATCCGAAGGCGTTTTGTTGTTTGGGACTGAAGCATGTCTGGTCACTTCCAGTCCAACGGCGAACTCTGTGGCCACAAAGTGGTGGACGTTTTAGTGAAGGCGCCCCACCGCAACAAGAAGTTCCTTTTATCACCCACAATGTATAATTTTTGACCTGGGGGCTCTTCTCTATGTGTTTTGTTTTTTCCCAAAGACTTTGGGAACTTGAGGGACGCTTGAGGAGAAGTGGATTTATGGCAGAGAAAGATGCAAAAGACTGCCAGAGAGTTTAGTTTGTTCCTAATAAAGAGGGTCCAGATTACACCAGCACTTGTGGCAACAAACATTTAAGTCCATCTCTGGACTGAGTTGATTGGAAGGCAGAGAGGACTGAATGGACAGCTGACTTTGTGTCTTCAATGTCTTTTTATGTGTGAAAGTGATGTTACTGTGAAATGTTTGACATCCTAAAAGCCCTTTTTATTACTGAAACTTTATCTTATGGTAGGTATTTACTGCAAGTTCTCATCTGTACCTGTTCTGACACTGAGGGGTTTGCATTTGGGCTGCAGCTTGGACAACATATCAGCTTTTATTAGACGTTCACTGATATACACTTGTATTATTTTGGATTGAGTTTATTTGACGCTCCATTCCTCAGTGTGTGTTCCTGCTGTTATTTTGTTTCTTTTTACATTTGCTCGTCGCCTCATTGCAGTGCTTCTTTAACAAGTGAATGTGTCGTAAATCCTTTAGAAAGTACAGGTTAGAAGTTTCAACAACTGCATGGCTACTTTTACGCTCATTAAAAGACAGGAGTGGTTCGGTGTCCTTTTAAGACTACTGTGCCTTGTTTTGACTGGCCAGTGGTACAGACCCTAATAAATCTGTGTTTCTATCTTAACAGCCTGAATTTCTTCTCTCTCAACAGAACTGGAACAATGGAAGGTTTGGCCTCTGGGTTTATCTAGGAATTAAGTCAAAACGTTAATTATACAGTAAAATATTTCTTTTGATTGCTATGGTTTACAGGTAATTGACATCTCCCAATTGTTTTTTGTACATTTGTTTTAACAGTATAAATTAAATATAATTTAAACTGTCTATGCAAGTGCTTAATATTAAACCATAAGAAGTCATAACATTATGAAGCAGACTCTGATATCTTGGCATGTTGATTGAAAGCTTAGTGGAAGAAAATAACTTTAATTGCATAATCTTGTAAGAATTTTTTTTATGAGAATCTCTAAAATGTAATAGTTTTTGAATGTAATTTTAAATAATATGCACGTCTGTGTTCCAAGTAGTGTATCAGTGTGTAAAATATAATTCACTGATATTTTGGGAAAATGTTCTCAATGTTGAGGTAATAATATATTCAGCCTGTTGGAATGTCACTGGAGTAAGTTCACATATGACAATGGTACACAGAACAATGAAAGTGTTAAGTATTGTCACATGAAAGATGTGGGTGAAACTGATCCAACCCAACAAACCTCATTGCACCACTGCACCACTCAGTTTTACCACAACAGCTGCTTGTAAAGATTAATGGTGAATCACTGGGAATCAGCCAGGTTGGATCATATTTTATAGATGCATGATTTGACATCTCATTAAGATACTCAGTTACATGGATGAAGTAGGTATTTATCACTCATCCTGGTGGATCTGAGCAAACTGTTTCATTCTTTGAAATTTGATTTTGGCATTTTCCAATGCCAAAATGGGTAGTTTTGAGAGGTTTTTCCCAGACATTCCTTAAAATATGCTTTTTGCTTCATCTCTTCCCTCCTTTTCCATCCTGTCCATATCTTTTCCCTACAATTCCGTGTCCTCCCTCATACTTGTTTCTAGTGCACTTCCATATGTAAAGTGTACCCACCTTGGAAATATCTGCCATTAAACTCCATACTTCAGTGTGATATTTGAAACTGATAATTAACAAAAATTGAGTCTTAAAAAGGAACATTTCCCATGAAAACTCAGGAACCCTCGATTATGTAAACTGCACCTACCTGGAATGCTAACTAATGTACCGACAGAGAACTTGCCCTTTTCAAAGGATGACAGAACACTTGTTCAAAAACAACCGTTTAATGAAAAAACAAATGCAGTACATGATGCAGACGAGATGTAACCACAGCATGTGACCCGTTTGCTTGCTTTGTGAGCTCCAGCTGGAAGCCTCACTGTCGCAAAGTTAACTGGTGCATGGTTCAACTTCCTGTTTATCTGGTCGCCTGACGACTCAGGCTCACTGTAAGCCATGCACCTCCAAATATGACCACGTCTGAACTTGTACAAGTTCTCAAAGTGGCACGTGCATAGATGTGATGGTAAAAGATTCATTTGACAAGCTGGAAGAGGAAAAGAACCAGGCAGACGAAAGAGGTTGAGTTAAGGCTGAACATCAAGTACCAGAGCTGAAACATCGAGTCAGTACCATCCTGCCTGCCGTTGACCATCGATGCAAGCAGTTCATGAGCGACAGTTTCCTGTAAACGCTTGGCACCTGTTTCATAGTGGCTTCTGCTGATCCCTTTGTTTAAATTGTACAAAAACAGTTCAAGAGAAAGATGGAGTAAAATAAGCCTATAAATCTAACCTCTTACTCACTAAAATGACTATAGAGCAAAACTAAAATTAAATAACTCAATGCATTGTTTATAAAATGCTGAGAAATACTGTTAAAACCAAGCTTCCACTTGATGTTTAAGTGATTTTCCATTTTCCAAATTTAGCATGTCAACATTGGCTGGATCATTTATGGCATAAAAGAAAAAAACAGGTTGGTTTAAAAACTCCAAATGAATGCGAGACATGATAACTGTAGCTTATGAACCTGAAACAAAATATAACAAACATCTGTGCTTAGAATGAGAACCGAATAAAAACATTATTGTGTCAAATTAATGGAACATCTTAGTGTGAATAGAATCATTGGAGCTGCTTTCATAATACTGTGTAACTCCTCCATTTGACCTGAAGAAAGCTGCACCATATTAAAGTTCCCTTAAAGTACTCAGCTTGATGAGATGTAACGCCACATGATATGTATGTAGTGTAAATTGTCCTTGATTGACAACCTTCTTCGCAGTCTTTGTTTTAGCTCTGACTCCACAAAATGACTTTGTGGTGGTCCATCGGCAGTGCTGCTTGTTGTTATGTCACAAAAAGGAAGCCAGTAAGGATAAAAATGGTGTGCCACCTCATTAGGGAGAGGTGCAGGTAGTCAGGCATTGATGGCAGGACAGGGGGGCTATCTGAGTCCAGCTCTAGAGGTCATCCATTCAAGGCCTTGACATAAACTGGAACAAAGAAGAGATGTAATGAGATTCAAGACCCAAAGCCCACAGTGAACTTTATTTTCAGACACCTTTAGCTGCTTAGAACAATACTAGGATCTTGACTTGACTCGCACATAAACGATCAAGTTCAAAGACACTGTTTAGTGAAAAGAGCGACACCTGGTGGCAAACAGCTCTTCTAGCAAGACAGATTCAATTTTGGGCAGTTAAGCTCAAAATTCAACCTAAATCTGCCAGAGGTCTGAGAAACGTGATCTTAACTTAATCACCAGGATTCTGAGTTGAATCTGTGGATGAGGTTTAAGTTTACAGTGATGGAAAGACATAAGAGTCACTCTTATACATTTTCACAATTCCAACGAAAATGTGAAAACTCTCTAACAAAGCAAAAAAAAAAAAAAAAAATTTAAATAAATATGCCTTTCACATCATTTTAGAAGACAACATTTTGGATGAATTAAAACTATAAATCTACTGCAAGAAAAAAATGTGGACTTGGTTGTACTTTTGAAAGTCACTCTACAGCTAAAATCTTCTTAACCTTGAACTTTATCTTTCAACATGAATGCAATGTATTTTGGGGATTTGTGTGATAGTACTAACACTGAATGAGGAAAAGATGTACTTTCAAAATGTTCTACAAACAAAAGCCTGTAAACCCGGTAAGATTAGTTTTAGAGAGTGTCGGAATATCAAATTTCAAGTTTCCCCACAGATTTTCAGGAATGGATGCTGGTCCATTTTCACACAGTACTTTCACTGCAGCTCTGGCTGGGTTGTCTTTCTACTGGGATATGACCCCAGACCCTTCTGGTCACAACAAAATTTTATTTAGTGGCATCATCCTAAAAAGGGGCTGAATGTATACTATGGTTGTGTGATTTTTATCAAACAAATAATAAAAAGAACATGCATTACTTTCCTTCTATTCTATTTTCTCAACAGAAGAAGAGATCGTAATCAATCATCTGGGATTGGTTTGTAAACAGTAGACAGTCTCACCCCTCTCCTGTCAGAGCGCAGCAGGACTGAATGTGCCAGGGATGGTCTTTGATGGAGCTCAGGGTGAGGTATTTGGAGATCTCCGCTGCCGACATGCAGTCCTTCATGTCCTGCTTGTTGGCGAATATTAACACAGCTGCCTTCCGCAAGTCCTGAGGAGACAATTCAGAGAACAATCCAGCTTAAATCACATATTCTGATCTGCAAGACCTTGACAATGGTGCAACTATGGCACAGAAATGACAAAGTGAAGCTTATCTCCTTCCTCAAGCGTCACCCACCTCATGAGCCAACATCCTGTAGAGCTCCTCTTTAGAGATGGCCAGTCTCTCCCTGTCGGTGCTGTCCACCACCAGAATAATGAACTGCAGAGGAAAAAAAAAAATCACACAGCAACTTTTTAAAGGAATTAAATGCAACACGATGGGTGGGCATATCCAATCATCCGGACCCCTAAGCCAACAACCTCTTCTGAATGAGAAATCAGAGCCTTCAATGACCGAAGACCAAAGAAATGTTTTTTATAGAAAAAGACACCACTAAAATTAAATCGACTTTAAAGCAAGTCATCAGCATCTACAATAATGCTGAAGAAACTTGAATAATACAAGTTACAAAAACATTTAACTATCCTTTGGGATCAAAGTATTTTTAATTGAATTCACAATAGCCATGAAAGAACATCTTCAACTAATCTTCAACTTTAGAATTTTGTCAGTGATAAGCAGAAAGATCAGAATATTTTTCATAAATTATGCACCAAGATCATCATTTATAAAAGCTTTTGTTAAATGACTCCCATCATGAGAGAAGTGCTGGTGGTGTTTCGTCATTGTTCCCAACGCATCTGCCTCTCCTGTTCGTTTTTTTGTCCCTTTATATCCTAAGTATTGCGGCAGCTGACCCCAACTTTGTCTCTCCGACAGACTCCTTTGTGATAAAGCTAACCCAGCTGACATCAGCGACCCCTGCTGGAGTCTGAGCTCTGAATGAATGCACCAGCTGCCACTCTGGAGAAGGAACATGGAAAATAAAAACCCAAGACAAAAGTGCAGGGAAAAAGTTTGGAACAATGCTGACCTAAACCGTATCGTGGTTCTCACCTCTGTGTTGGAGTAATAGGTGTTCCAGGAGGACCTCAGCGATTCCTGTCCACCTATGTCCCACATCAGGAAGTGCGTGTTCTTCACTACTATTTCCTCCACATTACTCCCAATGGTGGGGGATGTATGAACAACCTCATTCATCAGACTATACAATAAAAAAAAATTAAAGAATCTAAGCACAGTGGAAAAAATGTGTTTATGTTTTCAGGATGGTTTCAAAGATTGTACTTACAACTGGTAAAGGATGGTGGTTTTCCCCGCATTGTCCAGACCCACAATAATCACCTTGTGCTCTGAGACAAAAACAGTTAACCAGGATTTGTTTTATGATTTGAGGAAACACACAAACTGCACTATTTACTGTAAGAGCACTACGTGGCAGAGAAGAGGGAAAAAAAAAAAAAATGAACGTGATGTTTTCAGTCAACACAAAGTACCCCCGACACCCACAGCAGTACATTTTAAAAAAAACAATCACTCTGAAC